GCAGCGCGACCGAGAGCATGAGGGAGAGTCTTGTGTTGAGAAACTTGCGGGGCGACAGGTGAGGGCGTAGGAAGATTGGTGCCCTTGAGGTTTGTAGCAGCGAAGTTTGTAATACCATGGCCAATAGTAGTCGAGAGTTCTGCGATAGACTCCTGAATTTGATTCGGGTAGTCATACAACTCGTTCTCATAGACCTTGGTTACTCTGATGGAGGTGAGACATCAGCGCTCAGCCAATACACAAACAAGGTGCACAAACTTGAAAAGTGCCAGGTGTGCCTGACGCAACGCGTCTACACGAGCCTCCAAATCCTTGTACTCTGAAATGAACATTACGATTCAGCATCCAAACTATAAGGGAGCTGGCCTACCCTGAGGCAACTCCGTAATTTCGTCTGGGGCAACTTGACCTAAACGCTCTCTGGTTGCTTGAACACTGGAGTTGAAGCCCTTTGCAAACTTGTTTGCGGACTGCCCAAGATTTAGGCCAGAAAGGCTCGATTGAAATTTGTTCCAGCCGTCCATTAGTTTACTTGAAAATGACGATAATGATACAAGAACTAGAGAGATGAAGGGTTCAAGATATGAGAACCTCTGACCCCGCAGCTGAAGCCGCCCAGCGGTGCCAATAACGTTCAAATATGGAAGTAGGTTCAAGGGGTCCTAGTCAGACGCGTAACACGAATGCGCAAGCTCGTTGACAAGCTTTAAGATAATCCTCCACAATGTCACAACAATCAGTCTTCAGCTCTCCTGGATTCGACTTCTCTAACTCTGTTAGGTGAGAAAGACATTATATCATCTTCCATAGCTATTGTCTGAGCAGTCGTATAGAAATAATTTCCTCCAGGAGAAGGGCCTTCCCCTTCCAAAGGCTACCAGCACCGGTACTACAATCGTAGGCTGTCTCTTCAAAGATGGCATTATCCTTGGTGCCGATACGCGTGCCACAGAAGGTGAAATAATTGCAGACAAGAATTGTGAAAAGGTCCGCTCTTGGAGATCAATATCATACTACTTCAGCTAATATGCATCCCCAGATCCACTACATAACAGAATCAATCCGGTGCTGTGGTGCAGGTACTGCTGCAGACACTGAGTTTACCACCGCTTCGATATCATCAAATATGGAACTCCATGCTCTGTCCACTGGGAGAAAGCCAAGAGTGGTTACTGTGATGACTATGTTGAAACAATACCTTTTCCAGTGAGCGTTGTCTTCAGTATTCAATTTTTTGTTATTTATGCGATACGTAGATACCAGGGCCATGTTGGAGCTGCTCTTGTCCTTGGCGGAGTTGACTCTACTGGACCACATCTTTTTACCATCCATCCACATGGATCTACAGACAAGTTGCCCTACGTGACCATGGGCTCCGGAAGCTTGGCAGCTATGGCTGTTTTTGAAAGCAGCTGGAAGCCAAACATGGAGGTACGTTCCACCGTTCTCATGTATGACCGATGTTCAACCCCGGTCCCGTCTAGCGCAACGACGCTCTGGCCCTAGTGTCTGCCGCCGTCTCAGCTGGTATCTTCAACGACCTTGGCTCAGGGTCCAACGTTGACGCGTGTATCATTACCGCCACACAGACGGAGATGCTTCGCAATTTTGTCAAGCCCAACGAGCGGGTAGAGAAGGAACGCCATTACACATTCAGAAGAGGGACCACAGCATGGAAGAGCGAAAACATAAGAGACTTGATCATTAACGAAGACATTACGCTTGTAGGCGCCACTGGTGATGCCATGGACACCAGCTAGACGAGATTGACAAATGATACTTGGATTCCTTGCACGTAGAGAAGATTTGGTTATGCGGCATTGTTTTGATCTTTCTCTTCGTCCTGTGGATGGTTGATTTTATGCTGACGTTTGCTGTTCTTGCTCGGTCGTACAATTTGAGGACTCGTAATTTTTGGGTGCGTCGATCGTTTCCACGATCCGATTATTCGCTCTCTCAACTCTATACTATCGATGGTTTTCATGTTACTCTTACTCGTTCACTCAGACAGGCGCGAAAAGGTGAACGTTTGTGCTGCTCTGAACCTGTGTTCACGAATACATAATGATTCATTGTCGATGCGTCCCTGACTCCAACATTATTAATAATAACAATCGTGATCCGTCAGTTCTTCTACAGATGCAGTAGCTCTACATAGTATCTTCAGGTCACTTGAGCCAAGGGAGCTGATTGAGAGATCAATCTGTGAAGTTGTTTTAGTGCTAGCTGGTGGACCGAGCTTGCCATTTGTAGGTTGCAGCTGTGTCCCTGCGAACATGGAGGAGGCATGAGTCAGTCAGTCAGTCATCGTTGCAACTACCACCACCATCGACGACATGCCTGTCGTCCAGTTCGCGCCCTTTTCATCTCTTGTTCAGCCAGGCTTTTGGCATGAGCTTACTCGCATGAAGATAGATGTCCTTCGTCTCTCAGAAGACGCTATTGCCGTGAATGGATCATACTCTGTCGGTCGATCAGTCAGAGATCGCGAAACAGGGCAAGATATTGCTCTTGGATGTAACCTCACAGTTGGGGAAGATGCTTACCAGAAGGCACCTCAGTATGTCGCGATCGGACACGCGTTGAAGCTGATATGCTGATTCTATCCTAGGTTGCCACCGATGTCCGTCCAAGCCACTGGCATCTTCAAGAACTTCAATACTATCGAGGACTTTAAGGCTGCAGATAAGGCTGCACTCGTCAATGATGTCGTTTCTAAGGTGCGATCATGACTTGACACGTCCGATAGCAAATGGTGTAATACGTGTCCAACAAGATCTGGGATAGCATCATCACGACCAAAGACACGTCGCGCCTCACGCAGTTCTTACTAATAACATTCGCCGATCTAAAGAAGTATCAGTACTTCTACTGGTTCGCGTTCCCCGCGTTCGTGTCCAAACCAGCCTGGCAGATTTCAGAAAATGGCTGGAAGCCAGCGGACGAAGAGATCCAGGGGGTATGTCCTTCTTGGAGGAATATTTTCACGTTCTCACAAGCACTCTCAGTTGGAATCTATCTACGATTCGCTCCTCAAGTCAACTCGAACATTCTTTCTCGTGAAGGACATCGGCGGCGTAACTGAAGTAGGGTCGATACAGCAATATGAGGAGTTCTTTGTTGGTGTTGCTCCCGAAAACGTAATTTGTGCATTCCGTCTTATGAGCCAACCCTGATTCCCCTTGCACAGCGAGTAATCGGCTTTTTAGATCCGTCTGCTCTTCCTGAAAACCCAGGTTGGCCTCTTCGTAACCTCCTCACCTTCCTTCGCGCAGTATATCCATCGCAAACATCTTCTGTCCGAGTTCTTTGCTGGAGGGATAGCGAAAAACCCGTTGCCGGAAAACCATGGAGGAGCCGGTTTGGAGTGGTCTCCGTCGGAGAAGGAGATCCAACCACGAAACCCAGTGCTATAGGGTGGGAGCGCCATCCGACGACCAACAAGCTCAGTGCTCGAGTCGCCGATCTAGCACCTATGATGGATCCGAAGAGGTATATGTTGTCCAGCGACTCGTAGTGAATACTGCTGACAGGCTTTTAGGCTCGCTGATCAAGCTGTGGACCTGAACTTAAAGTTGATGCGCTGGCGGATTTTACCCTCGCTAGACCTCGATAAGGTGGCATCAACAAGATGCCTGCTTCTCGGCGCCGGGACACTTGGCTGCTACGTTGCACGTACCCTCATGGTTTGTGCCGATGGTTCATACTCCACAGTTATTACTAATTAATTTCCACCACTAGGGATGGGGTGTCCGTACGATTACTTTCGTTGATTCTGCGCGTGTGTCATTCTCGAATCCCGTCCGCCAACCCTTGTTTGAATTCGAAGATTGCCTCAACGGCGGCAAACCCAAGGCCGCTTGCGCCGCCCAGCGCCTGACGAAAATCTTCCCCGGTATTGTAAGTCCCGTCTCGTTCGCCTTGAATGATTTCTGATGACTTGCAAATTAGAATGCCACTGGCCATGATATGTCGATACCCATGCCTGGCCACCCTATACCCCCGGCGTCCACTGAGCAAGTGAAGAAAGACGTCGAACGTCTAGAGACGCTGTTCGACGCACACGATGTTGTATTCCTCTTAATGGATTCTAGAGAAAGCCGCTGGCTGCCAACTGTTTTGGGCGCTGCTAAGGGCAAGGTACGGCACAAGACCATATGCATATTACTCGTACTGAACCCTCGCGTAGATAGTCCTTAACGCTGCCCTTGGGTTCGATACGTACCTCGTCATGCGCCATGGCGCTCGAGCGTCTTCGACGACGGGCAATCGACTAGGTTGCTATTACTGCAACGATATCGTCGCTCCTGCTGATGTATTACCTTTCGACTCTCCATACCGGCCTTCACTTACATATCTTTCCATATAGTCCTTGACGGATCGCACTCTGGATCAAATGTGTACCGTGACAAGACCCGGCCTTGCCTCGATTGCAGCTTCTACAGCGGTCGAACTCCTTGTCTCTTTGCTACAACATCCTGATGGGTAGGTCTAATTTTACTTCAAGACGTTCCTGACGTTGTCCACAGGCTTCATGCACCCCCGCCTCCTGCTCAAGCCAATGGTGCTGCTGCAGACCCTAGCACATCGGGCAGCGTTCTGGGTCTTGTCCCGCATCAATTGCGTGGGTTCCTGGCACAGTTCAGAAACCTCCCGATCACAGGTGCAGCGTACGACAAGTGCACGGGTTGCAGTGAGACAGTAAGCACGATCACCCATTCTCCACATTTCTATACTCATCGATGAGTCAGGTTCTCAAAGCCTATGAGGAACAAGGCTTCAATATGCTCTTGAAAGCATTCAATGAGCCTGGATTCCTTGAAAAGTTGACCGGACTGGACAAGCTCTATAACGAAGGTGATGCAGCAATGGAGAGTGTGGACTGGGAAGAGGAGGATGAGGAGGACGAGTAGGTTCTAACGTCCGATGTAACACACTGGTTTTCTGTAATTCTACAACTACTTTACCTGTACTTGTTTTTACGACGTTGCGATGTGGCACTACAACTTACTTTGTAAGGGCGTTTCATTGCCATGGGGCTGGCCCAGATACCACAACGTCGCATCCTTCAGCTCACTCAACCACTCCACAACAACCTTGTCACTGAAGACGTGTTGATCGTAGGAGGCAAAATATTGCAGCTGCTGGCGCACAGTCGACGCACCAAGATACAGCTCGGCAGGCGGTGTGTGAGGATGGACACGCCAGTACTCAACATGGAGTCGCGGTGTTTTGGCATCCTCGAAAGCAGTGGCCTGTGGTGACCACGGTAGATAACCTGCACGGTGGGCGTGAGGCGTGCTGTGCAGGGGTGACAGGTAGTGCTCGGGAGGTAGAGGATAGTCTATGGGCACCAGATTATCCATCTGGAATCGCAACGTTTAGCTCATTTGAACCTATATCATGAAAGCCACTGACATTGCCCAGAGTGGCTCCTACTTGTGTGTATATCGGGTTCAAAGACTGAACGGATACACTTTTATCGCCGTCCTCTGGGTGAACGCTGTCTCTCATCTTCAACGACTTCAAAGCAACTTCCTTCCCGAAAGCAGCCCAATAGAGTCTCAGGGTGGAAGTACATATATCAGCCAACCGTGGGTGTTCGAGCAGCTTCTGGGCTTGCGCCTTCACATTAGCACATCGGAGAAGAAACCGATCGAAAGACATGAGCGCAGGGAAGTCCGGTGCCCCATCGACGAGTTCCAGTCTGCTAGGGTCCCCCCAGACATTTCGCCAAGAGGCATGAAGGGAAGCATATACCGGACGAGGCCGACGCCGACACCAACATCGCCCGAGCCTCCCCTCTCAAACCAGTCCTTATCTTGATACGGGCGCAAGTTCAGCGGCCCGAGGACACACATGGGCTGGCGCTTCCTGTACTCCCATTCCTCTTCCGGGATCTGGCCCCTGAGGTACCGTCGACATAAAACGCGTGCCATGGCCACTTGACTGAGGGCGTAATACGCGGAGTTCATGGTAATGCCGTGGCGATGGCAATTGGTGAGAATGGTTGACGACACTGCTCTCGAAAATATTGAGACGTGGTTGCGGTTTTTAGGGGAAGTATGAGGTGTGGATTCCCTGAAGTCTCCGGGGAGGGTGTGACCGCCCTGCTTCAATGCTTTAGCTCTCCTGCGAGGCACCACAAACTAAACACTAAAGACCTTGAATCGGGACATCCATGCTAAGTCGATTGCATAACCCAATGCCCGCCTCCACCGTTGTTTGACAAGTGGAAGATCGCTACAACCCAAATTACTCTCAAAAGCCTGATACATACGCACTCTCTTGCCTAGAGGAATATACGGTGGTTCAATCCGAGATGACAGTGTGTCAAAGAACGCCCTAAGCACTGTGCTCGTGCCAGCTGCATCTGAAATGCAGTGGGCAATCACAACCACGACGTGGAAATGGTCACTTTTATCTGTTCGGCGCAGAATGTAAGCACGAGTAAGTAACTGAGATGAAAGGCGCCGAGGTCCATCCATAATGTCGTTTATGAAACATTCAGCATGGTGAAAGGAATTGACCTCTAAGAATGTGACATCATCAGGTCGAAGATTCATGACTGTTTCTTCACGGATGATGAAGCGTGGACCAAACTCGTGTTCTTCCACTTCGGCTGCGATGAGGGGGAAGCGCCTTTTGACAGACGCCCAAGCACGCATGACATTCGATTGGGAATGAATGTCTTGGTCACTGGCTTGTGTGGCACGAAGGTGTATGTGCATCACGACATCTGCGGTGTTGTTTAAAACGCCAGTCCAATAGAAGGTAGTTTCTGTGATTCCGAGTGGCCGAAAGAAAATGCACCTGCCTGGAGTAGAATCTAGCGATGTCCATGACTCGGAGGTCATAACGTTGAAGCTGATAGTGAGCCTAGAGGGAAAGTGCGAGAGGAACTCAAAAGTGAGTAACAACGGAGTGCTACTTATGCCCTCTCCTCAAGCACATATAAAAATCCCGGCAACTTCATGAGAATGTCACGTTGACTGGTTTACGGAAACCTTCAACTTGACCCTAGAAGGAGTAACGATTGTGGCCCTAAACACATTTGACCACTTGCGAAGCGGAAGTTAAGTGACCTAGAGCGCATGGCGCCTCATTAGCAGCGGCTGCTGCCGGCCCTTGCTCAGTAGCGAATTACATAAACCCAAGGGTTACCGAGGAGTAAAAATCTGACAGTGCCTCACGACAAACTCACGAGGCGGCTCGCGCATGTCAGTAGGTCGCGTTCCGCGCCCACGCCATGATTGATAGAATCGCACGTACGCCAAACATGCCAATATTATATATTGCTAAGAACGCGGCAATGACTCGGATCACAGGTGATCATCTAGATCGCCAGATCTGCATGCTCGCTGCCGTCATGACCAATGCCAGTCGCAAAGGAATCAATCCGGGAGAGTATCCATCGGAGCCGTGATGGTGCATTACTATATAATCTCACTGTAGTGCGCAGAGCCTACTAGCTCAGTTTCATGGTATGAAACAGCAGAAGTCTTGTACAGTGACTCGGAGAGGAGAGCATAAAGTTATAAAGAGTGCATATATGATGTTATACTTGCACATTTATTATTGCGCGTTGCGCAGTCTGCGCGGTGCGCGTTTCAAGTGACCCGTTATTACCGCAACCTGCGCGCTGCCCTTTGCGAAGTCTGCGCTGCCTTGAAGTCTGCGCGTTGCCCGTTCAAATTGATGACCTGGGGCTCTCGCCATGTGGATCACTTGCATCTTAATCATTAGGACAAACCTCCTGAAATTCGACTACTAGTAGTAGTGAAAGGACATCAATTGTAAAATACATTGCACGGTACTATGCTTATAATGATGAATCAGAAATTAATTTTTCAGCGAGACGGTCACAAGCTTCTTCAACAAATTGCTCTGCGTGGTTAAATGCGGCTCCCTGCTCAATGATCTTGAACATCAGTTCCTTGCACCCTCCACTAACACACCTGAACTGCAAATCTTTGAAGTGTTTGACAGCTTCACGATATGGTTGTGGGTTTTGTCCATCGAGAAGGAAATGAGCCATGCCATTCCACCAGATAGCGTGTCAGTCCTTGTTACAGCCGACTGGATCTTGGCAGTCGCTAGTGTGGATCAAAATTTTGGGCTCCTCCGCAGCCACAATACGACGATGTTCTTCAAGAGCTGCTTGCACATAGACCAAGCTTGTAAATACATTGTTCCCTAAGAGTTGCCGGTGTTGTGCAGTCAATTGGGTAATGGGAGTGTTGACGAGTTGCTTGAAGGTGAATGGGAAAATTGCACCTGTATTATACTGTATGGCAAGGTTAATGAGCTGAGCAGGGTGGAAATGATATCGAGTAGATTGAATGCATGAAACCACAAATTTCCGCGTGTGCGAGCATTGGTACATATCGCAGAAATGGAGAAAGTTTGACAATTCTTCAAGGGTGTATTGACTGGCGCGTGCTCTGCAACTGGTTTAGCAGCTTGACTCAACAAAAGCCATAGAACAACAACTTACCTGCCAAAGGTATGTTCAAGGAATAATTCAAACATCTCCTGTGTTGTACCAGCAAGATGGATGGGCCTCTCATCACTTTTCCCATCAATCTCTTCCAATCCAGCACTTTCCATAGCAGCAAACATGCCATTGAATGTTTCAGAATTTGAGGGCAAGACCGAGCCACAGAGCCTATATAGCACATTATCGATCTGAGGGCACCCAAACTGTGTGAATGATTTAATATATCAATCAAAAAGCTTACCTGAAAGACATGACTTGCATTAGAAAAATAATAGACAGGATGTTGAGTTGGTGTGGTAGAAGCACCTAGGCCTGACATAGTCTCTGAACTGCAATGTTAACAGTTTGATGGGAAATCAAGTTTGAAAAATGTTCAACAGTGTAGCACATGATCATGTGAGTTGTTACTTGAAGGAGAATATTCACTCCGACACCTACTCACTTCTCATCAACACCTACTCACTTCTCATCAACACCTGCTCACTTCTCATCAGCACTTACATCAAGGATCATCCCCGTCTAGTGAGAGAACAAGATTGAGAGAGCCAATGACCAATACTGTGCAAATCTTAGCATGAAGTATGTCAAATTTTGGTCTCTGTCTCGGTGTTCTCGTCCATGTGTTGTGAGTCATGTCATGTTGTTTGCAACCTCCATGACAATCATCCCCATCTAGTGAGAGAACAAGATTGAGAGAGCCAATGACCAATACTGTGCAAATCTCGGCATGAAGTATGTCAAATTTTGGTCTCTGTCTCAGTGTTCTTTGAAGCATATCATTAGCCAGGCTGTTGTTATTGAGCAGGAATTTTCAACAGGTTTGTCATTACTTTCATTCTGTCTATCTTATGCCAACTGTTTCTCTGGATCCTCTCCCCATTGGCCTCATTGGCACAAACATTGGGTTAGAATTCCCCCATGCACTATACCTCACATCCATTATGTTTGCCCATGTGCTATACCACATGTCCATTATGTTTGCCCATGCACTATACCTCACATCCATTATGTTCACCATCGTGCTCCTTCCCCCATGCACTATACCTCACGCCCATTATGTTTGCTGGACTTACCTCTGCATCAGTTCATTCTAGATATTTTTCATGATGGAGAACATTCACATTCTGGTCATTGGTAGTACTACTAATTTCTCTATGTAGTGTATATATGCAAATGACTCACTGTAAATGTGTTCAGATTGCAACGTCTGTGTGTGTGAGTGTGAGAGTCTTGCTGCTACTCGAACTTTAAGTTGAAATCACAGTTATCGTGACTTGGATGCCTAGTATGCTACCACAGATGCTTCCTCACTTTCCACTTTGCACAATGGCCCATACTCCATGGCCAGCTAACTTCCTTGTTGCCTATGATACATTATCAGACATTTACAGGCATGCTTATCACATTCTGAAACACGAGGATGCAGACCCTCTTCAGCTCACATATCATTTAGAAGCCATAACAGCTGATGCTATACCATTACTCGAAGCATTTGAAGTTGATCCTCGAGGATTGGAAGTGTGGGACTGGCTATCTGATGCAGCTACTTTACTGGGGAACTTGTCTGTCCAACTATCGTCATTTCGACAAAATATTGAGACTTGGTGTGTTTTGTTCTCACCACTCCATTAAGCAATCACTTACTGCATTGACAGGGTGGATGGTGATATTGTATTTGCCAAACCTGTGACCTTGTCATGAACGAGCTGTGCAAGTCGCCCAAAGAAGATTATAGACCTCAAATTCCTTGCTGGCGCATTGTCAAACTCTTGACAAATCAAGCTTAGGGAACTGGCGGACATATTAGGAGCTCACAGGAATACTTTGCATCTCTATATGAAATGCCATGGTATCCAAAGGAAGTACTCTGAACTCACAAATGCTGATCTCAATGTTCTAATCAGCAAGTTCAAGAAAAGGCGCCCAGACTCTGGAATAAGATACATTATTGGGCATCTTCACAGGCATGGCATCTGCATGCAACATCATTGAGTGGTACATTCACTTCATCGAGTAGACCAGTTAGGTCAGGTGCTGCAAGATCGACGAGTCAAAAGACAGCGCAAGTATTATGTCAAATGGCCCAATGCACTCTGGCACATGGATGGCCATCACAAACTAATTTGATGGGGGATTGTAGTTCATGGATTTATCAATGGCTTTTGCAGAACGGTAAATATATGTTTCATGTGCTTGTAAAAAAGTAGTTTATTGATGTGGCCTCTTTTTCTATTAGATAACAGCATTGAATGTTAGTAACAACAACCATTCAGCTACTGTTTTGGACTTATTCAAGCTTGTGATCAGAGAGTATGGTACTCCTTCTTGTGTGTGAGGTGATCATGGTGGAGAAAACCTCAATGTTGCCACTTACATGATTATGAAAAATGGACCACACCATGTGTCAGTTTATGTGGGGATCATGAGTTTTTTCTTGCTTGAATTGTTTGAGTTGCTGACTCTGTGCCTAAGCTCTACATGAAACTCTCGGATTGAGTGGCTGTGGGTTGAAGTTAGGCACTCAATTCACCAGGCAATGGAGGGCCTTCTTTACTCAACTCGAAAATTGGCATATGCTTGACCCTCAGAATGCTAATCATCTTTGGTTGCTTCATGCACTTTTCCTTGATGATGTCAATCAGGATTGCTCCAACTTTCAGGCAGAGTGGAATTGCCATCCAATATGGGGTCCTGATGCGAACGACAAGAGTCCAAAGGTAAGCTCATGAGTTGTATTTCAACTTGCCCAAAGACCTTAATTTATTCAGGACCTATGGTTCCTGGGACAAACACTATTCAGCGTGTATCATGACGATTGTGAGGGTGTTCACCCTGATGTAATTGAGGAGTACTATGGCATTCATGGTTGCCCTGCATCCCAACATGCCACACCAGACTGGAGCAGGACATCCTGCTGATGAAGACGAAGACATAGATGAACAGTCACCTGACATTATTGAGTCAATCAATGATCAGCAATGGCAGCATGTCCATCATGAAGCTGTTGGAGTTCCTTCACATAGGAATGCTTTTGGTACTGACGAAGAGATGCAAGGGCAATTTTTTGCTGTTCTTGCCAAAGTTGTTGCAAGGCAAATCACACCAGCACACTGCCAACTGACACCAGATGAATGGGAAGGTGACGAGTATCCTATTTTTGAGACTATATGTGCTGGTCGACAAGGTTCAAAAGAGCTTCAAGTCTCCCTTGCAGAACCAATTTGGTTTCATAGAGCAACATTATGGTGTCAAGCCTTACTAGTTTTGACTACGTTTTTAGCCAATAGGGAGTAATTGGAACATGTACTAGTTAAATAATTTTGCATTGTAAATTAATTCTGTGTCTTAAAGTCATTCCTATACCTCAAGCTTCCCTGATGCAACTTGCTTGACCTGTCCCACAAGCAACAGTATCACATGGACCATGAAAACTTCTGCAGAGCAGCTGATCCTGAAGGTCAACTTTGCAACTGTGAAGATTTTTATCCTTGACATGGGGATGAAGGACACTGTGCCGAATGTGGGCATGGACACAGTAAACATCCTCAGACTCGGAAGACAGCAGACATTGGACATTCCAAAATACCCCAGGATGAAGAGGCTTGCCCAAGTTCCTCCAGTACTGCTGCAGTGAAAGAGATCTTTAACTGTGTAACTGCAAAGCGGGGAGGCTTGATTCTCTCAACTAAAGCTGCCAGAGATGAGGCTTTGTCAACACTTGCTTCTACCCATCTCGCAAATTACAGCAAACTGTCAAAGGGCCTAGGACCGTCAGCTGGCTCGCAAAAGGTAATGCACCACCAATATACTAACAAATTTACCTGTGCATTCACATTTTCTCTAGACTCAGAGGGATACTACCGCTAGTTCACAACCTTCTGGGAGCCAGGCAAGACAGAGTACTACTACCACCTCTGGAGTATCCAATTTCCGTGTTGCATCAGTTGGCATGCTCATTTGCAGAGTTGATGTTAGTCATGAACCTTCACCTATGCTCAAAAGGGTCCACATCACTAACATATCTTCAGAGACATGGCGCTATTAGAGTGTTGAAAGCCCCATCAAAAAATGGTATGAATGAGATCCAGGCCATGAAGAATCACAGATGTTATGTGGATGAACAAGCGACATTCTATCATGACTGGTCATATGCCCGGGTCAGTCAATTACTATGCAAGTTATTTCCAAAGGTCTTCCATTACCTTGATACCAAGAGACCCAGGAATGTGTCATCATTGTCACAGTCAGCAGCAGGCCAGGAAGAGAAGCCGCCTTGGAGGCTCTTGAACAAAAGTGGTCAAGTACTGACTGTCATTGACATTGCATGTCTGACTGGAACAGGCTTAGCCAAGCACAAGGGCAGGGACAAAGCAAGTGTGACAGAATCTCACCTTTGGTTTGGTATGGTTGCCACTATATACACCTGAGCGCTGTGCTAATAACTTGTGTTAGTCACCAGGAACTGTATTCCACAGCACATGTACGAATCCTGGAACACCCAGCCTGTTATAGCTGGTTTGGATTCTGAAGCCAATGATGATGGTTCAGAAATGGAACTTCTGTCTGATGCAGACAGTATCAGAGATGACACCAACCATAACCCTGAACTTGCTAGCTCCTTGATGGAGATGGAGTTGAGCGACTCTGGAGACTTTCACACTGACTACAAAGGCAAAGGAAAGCTGAAGATCTTGAAGACACCAATGGTCAATGGTATGTCTGTGTTCTATTCCACTTTCGGACTCGGACAACAGAATTAACAACTGCGTATCTAGCCAAACGTACTCACACAGCACTCTCCCCTGATGAATCGCCAACAAATCCAAGAGTAGCATTGAAAAAGCTCAAGAGCGGTGTGTCCCTGTTGCCTTGGTAACATAAATTTGGACTCACAATTTTTATTCATTAGAAACAGCTGCCATCCCACTTTTCCTGCCTTCACAGTCCTCTCCTTTGCTCACTGACAGTCGGCTGAGCATTCTGAGTGTACCAGCTACATATGCAACATGCCCTGAATTATCCTGTCCAGCTACAATTGTCCCTGTGAGTGAGGATGATATTTTGTGGCACAACCAGCCTCAACCCTGACTGACCCTTTCGCACAGGTTATAGTCAATCCCTGGGAGTCCGAATATGTTATCAGGCCAGTTGATTATCTTTTTTAATGCTTTCACATTTCAGTTTCTTGTCTACATGTTTAATCGCTCTTTTTCTGTTTGTCTTGCACTATACTTCACTACAGCAGCATGATACTTATGATATGAGTCTTTGAGCCATATAACTCAGGCATTGACGACTAATGATTTTGATTGTCATTACATCTACATACGACAAGGACAATAGTACCCTGCTTTGCTTTACTGTTGACCGATTTCGGACGTGCCAGCAGGACATGTGATGGCACAGCGTCTCACGTGATTTTGTGGCCCGTTTGGACCCTCAACTACTAGCAAAAAAATTACTTACAAAAAACTTAAAAGCAAAGCGCGCAGACTTCGCAAAGGACAACAAGCAGATATCAAGCAACGCGCAGACTTCGCAAAGGGCAGCGCGCAGGTTGCGGTAATAACGGGTCACTTGAAACGCGCACCGCGCAGACTGCGCAACGCGCAATAATAAATGTGCAAGTATAACATCATATGCATAGCCGTAGTGTGCACTATGCAAGCGATAGTGCTCTGATCACCTTGGAAAAGCCATGAAAATGATACTTGCAACCTGTTAGGGACACTCGGCACACTGTTAAGCATGTTATCGTCCAATATTTCATGAAAACTATAATGTTTCAAGTTTCGTTACCAATATATACAGACAGACATTGTACTTCGAACGCTCGCGCCGCCTCAGATCTGAATTCGCTCCATCCTACTCATTTCAAACAACAGGGTCCATCACTTTGACTCACAAGAACACGCTTGACCCTGCTTGGAACATTCACAATCTTCCCCTTTACCAGCGCAAGAGCACTGCACAGAGTTGCAATTAGTTTTATTCCAAAATCGGCGTCATGACCGTACTTTAGTTGAATGTGCGCTGTTGACACATTTCTGACAGTTACATTGGTTCTTTGGGCAAGCACAGCCGGTCCCTGAGGGGCCACAAGCTCTGTGAGAAAGTTCAGTGTGAGATAGCAGCAAGAAAGTGGGCACTCACGGGCATTCGCTGGCACAGGTACATCCACTGCAGGTTGCCATTATGGTTTTTGTCAAAGCTGGTTGGACGAAGAAAGCGGTGGTGTACTAGTAGGTCTAGTGTAAGCGACCCCTATGACATTACCAAATCACAGGGGCAAGATTGACGTCATACAGGGGTCACATGCTAATCGTTGAAAGAGAAAATGGGTCCGTCGAAGTTAAGCGCTCAGCTGCAATCGTGGGGTTCAAACCTGCTTTTGAAGTCTTGTTGAATCTCTCGTCGTTTACGCAGCCCACAAGACATAGATGTGACGACGTGGACATTCAAATGACGGGCTTTGAGATATGTTGATGTGAAGTCAGGGTATGTACTCATCTAAACGACATAGGATTGGAAAGGCAAGAGGTAGATATACAATACATTGACTACTTGAAATAACATTTCTACACATGCTCATCCTCACGCATCATACACTATCCGCGCACCGACCCACGGGTATGGATAATTGGGTTGATAAAAGTTCCTGATCGTCCGCCGTCCAGCAAGGCGTGGAATCGTAGCGTACGAAGCTCCAAGCTGCATAACCCATTGTATCAGCCGACAACAAGATGAAGCAACGACCAAGACTCACAACAACATGATGCTTCCCATCAAAGAAATCTGTTGAGTACCCCGGGAAGTGCTTCGTTGGCGATAATCCATCGTGGCTATCGAGCACTGTCGAAGTCCATTCCCAGACACCACCATTGCTTCCACGACCACCGTTTGTCTCGAGACCAGTAGTTGCTCTTACAACCAAATGTATGAGATAAGATAATTCAGAACACATAGTGACTTACGGGACAGGATGCCAGTTTCTGATGCCTACGTTCGCGCCACCTTCGAATCCAACCTCGTATGTATCAAGGAAGAGCCTCAGCTCCGGTTCGGTGGGTAGTCGTCCGCCTTTATTCTGAGCATATGCACTGAGCATGTCATAGCTCGAAAGCACCGGCCAATGCTTCGCGACGCTTAGTGGCACAGGACCGTAAAGAGTGCGGACCTGGCAATTTCACTCAGTCCCGGCCATCCATAACTAATTGAATAACAAACCTGGATCTCTTCCTCTCCTTCCACCCAACTGGGTGGCATACCAATTTCCTTCCTGTTCACCCACCAAGCATGGAACTCTCCATTGCTGATTGGTCTCCACTCAGCACGGAATTGCCCCACCTGCACCTGTCGTGAAGGGCTCTCATTGTCCCAGCCGAACTCGTGTCCCTCGACCTGGTCACACACACCTTCATCGAAGTCATTACCTTCGCAATCGTCGTGCCCAAGCATGATGGCAACAGGGCCAAGAGTGACGGTCGGCGAAGAAGGGGATGTACATGAAGCGTCCCATTGCGCAGACAGCGCTTCCCATGGCGGGGTGACGAATCCTGGAGGGGGGAGCGTCCCTGTTCCAGCACGCTGGATGAGCATGTAGAGGAGTGTCTATGCCATACCAAACGCTCTTAAGTCTTGATCAATACAAATAAGAAATGTTGTACTAACCTCGACGTGCCACCCCTCATGTTCAAGGGTCATCGCAAGCATGCGACCGATATTCCTGTTGATTTTACGCTTTCCAGATGCTAAATCGTCGTACAACGCCAGAAGGCGCGCACGCACACGGTCGCGAAAGGCGAGGACCGTTCCAAGGGTAGGCCAATCCTCGTCCTTTGTGGGAACTTCAGAGTGTCTCTTCAATACAAAATTGACGTCAGGAGAACACAGACAACGAGGAAAGTAAGTACATACATGGCAGTGTTCCGGATCATCTACATGAGGGTCAATGCCGCGCTAATGCAAGGAGTCAGGAACGATGCTCTGAACTAAAAATTGATTGGCACCTCAAAGATCTGCGCGAAATAAGGCTCAGAATTGGCCTGGTTGAGAGCACGGGCCATAAGCATGTCGAGGAATCTGTTTTGACACTCAGATATAGACGAGAAAACACTTCAATGTAAAGCTTACGTAGGTATGTGTCCAATGTAAAACAAGCATTTGTGTCGCAGGTCAATAGGTTTCTGGTGTAACATAGCGCTTGGGATCATGCCAAGTGTAACAAGATCCCAGGCAGCCCATAGGTCCTTCCATTCCTGCAACATTATCCATCAGACAACAAACAAGAACCACGAAAAAGACCAACATACTTGTTTTGTAGGGACGCCCGACAGGCTCGCAAGATCAACAGGCGGGAAGGATACAGCCGGGCGCTCGAGGACGTATAAAGTGCTGCTTCTACATGGCGAAGATTGTCCAAAGATCGAACGAAGGCCAACGGAGGCGAAGGTACTCAAGGCTTGTGCTGGGCTTGTCTACAATGAAGAGAATGAGCGATACGGAATGGGAGGCAGGAGGAAATATAAGCGAACTCAAAAATGAAAATGGCATCTACAAAGTGAACGTAAATTTTGAGAGGATCAGGACTTACAGTTTTGCCATTGCTCGTGCAAACCTTCACCCATTCCTCAAATTCGACACCCTCGTGTGTTTCAGTGAAGTAACAGCTTTCTACGATGTGTCAGTATTATTATCTCACTAGGTGAGACTTGTGCAATACCATCAACAAGGTGCTTCTGCCAGCGTTTTCCCTCGACATCAACAAAAGGTAATGTTTTGATAGCTCCTTCAACCCACGCATTGGTAGATGTATCAGAGTGGTTAACAGAAATCACAATCCTGTCCCCAGATCCCTTGTCCAACTTCTTGGAGAAATCCCTCAAGAATTGCTTGTCGAGCAGCGTAGGGGAGAGGAGAAAGGTTTTGGTAGGTTGGAAGTCAGATACGGAGGATGGTGTATTCGACCTTGAGGTCGACGAGTCGGAGAGAGAGAAATCAGAGTGGCAGGACATGGGGATGCTGCGCAAGAGTTCGCACTCAATATGAAGTTTGGAGGATGATAGTGTTGAAGGACTCAGAATTCAATGCAAGTCCACAAGAGGTGAAACATCGATTTTATAGGAATGCACAAGATATACGTACAAACAGAGCAACGAGTCAGTATCCGAATTATGTAGGGCCGTCACCCAGTGAACATCATATCAATTGCAGTATGACGATAAATTGAACCCACAGGATCATCCATTGAGTTCGGAGTTATTGCCGATGACAGACACGAGGACAACCAGATGTAGCATAGAAAGGGCGGTTATGTAGTGCGGTGCATAAAGAAGGGTGCAGAATTTGATCAAGTGACCTTAAACGAGTGCGAAAACCGAGCCAAGAGCGGCTTGAAAGCGTAAGAGAAGGCCTTTACACCCGATCAGGGAGGTCACAAGGACAATGACACGATACCACTAGTCGGATAATATCGGGACCAGCGACACGATCAGATAGCGGAGTGTAAAAGGTGAGCAAGACTCGCGATCAGGACTAACCTGCCGAGATACGACTGGAAACGTAAATGGGGGGAGTAATGCGCTTGAGCAATCTTGCAAAAAAGAACATCATCGTACGATGATTGGGGGAAGTTATTGACGTGCTGCAAGAGATATGGGAATTTGGATGGCTTTTCTTCTATGGGCCTGGTGAGTCACTACATGTGAAGCTGAGACTGACGGCAATTCCCAACTTGGTAGGCAAAGGCGTTGATCATATCAAATGCTCATAAGAGTCTGCCAGATGGTGAGCACACAGTAGCCCATGTCCATGATGACGTGGTCAGGGTAATGGGGAAAGACTCTATTCAATTCTTTGCCATCTTACTTATATGCAACAGTCATGACGTGCTACACACTTGCGATGGTGTGCTCAGCTCTCATCACGTGAGTGCGTCTGGTGTATCGTCCCGATTCGTCCGACGTCTTCTGATCATGAAGTTCTTGCCAACTTCTTCGGGAGACTTTGATATCTTGCTAAAGCTTCAAGCTTCAAGTTCTGCCTGCAGTCCCATTATTTCATCAATGTCTCGCAAACATACAATCATCCAAGAAAAATAATTCATATGCTTAAATAAACAAAGCTAGGTCCTATGATGACTGCAACAGACAGCATAAATTTTAGGCCATTGCCTCCCTCAGCTCTGGCTATTACAATCCAAGGACAACGGCATTGTTGATGGTCCAACTTTTTTCAAGTTTCAGCTCGGCTGTGTTTCCGCCAACCTCGCCCACCGTGTCCAAGGACCAATTGGTGCGAAGGATGTCCAATATTTTGCTCAGAGGATGATTGAAACAATCAGTGGCAGCCTGAATTCGAGTCCTTGAAATATATATTGTTCAATTGACGCAGCCTCATGCCTTAAGGTGTTTTGAGCTCGTACTAATAGCTGGCTTAGTCTATAGCGCAACCGGTCAGGAGGAGTCAGGACCACTGCGCCCTCAGATGAGTGCTTGTGGCGGCATAATCGACCCGTTGCGAACTACTGGGAGTTTGCGTGGCAAAGCGACATATTGATACTTCGTCACGAGAGGACTGACAGTGTGAAGAGCCAAATTATTGATCAAACTTCAAGGGCAACACATCGCAGTAAATCAAAAGAACAGTCAGTATGATATTTCGGCCTACGTGAGTTGAAATTGACTAATTTTTCTTGGTGTGGAACTACAAGGTCTCACTGCAACCCGAACAAAGGCCCTTTCATGATGATGATCACGACCAGCCTAATCATGCCTTCTTTGATCGATGATGTCTTGTGGCGTTGAGCGATTCTTTGTTGGAGTGGCAGACGACCACCGTAGCTGTATTCGTCCACGATACAATGGATGCAACCCATCTCCCTCCCTATATAAGAGACATTTAAGATGGCACATATCCTCATCAGTACCATCTCACTCCAGCATGTCCTCGGCACTTACCTATCCTCTTCCTGTTCTCCCTTCTATCCCAGACAATCTCGAACATCTCGACTCACGCCATGCTTTACCCCATTTGATGGCATTAATGAAGAACACCCTCATTCGTGGTCTGAATCGCGTCCATGCATGTGCGCCTCTCATCATTGTCGGCCACCCCATTCTTCTGCCTTTCCTTGACTACGTGCGATTACTCCTTGCGCAATTGGATGTGCACCTCGAGGAGGATGCTATTTTTTTCTCTGTGAACGCGCTGGCAGGGGTCACCACAACCGAAGTTAACCCTGCTACTAAGACTATCAGGGAATCCATAATTTCATTGACGAGTTTGGTATTGGCATGGATTTTGGTAGGTATTTCCTTACCCTCTCACTCCTAATTCATCACTCGTGGGCAGGATGAGTCCAAGTTCTGTCCGAGCGCTCTATGTGATGGACTCTCGTTTGGGCCTCTCCTGGTTGGCGTTATGCAGGCACAGATCAGTGCGCTTACCCCCACGCTGCTCAGCTCGATTATATCCCACGTGGACCTTCTTGAATTGATTAAAGGTGCGAATCTCCTTACTCTATTCCCTCAAATACTGAAGGTATGACAGCCAGCGTCAGTCGCATCAGTGAACGCTCGGACATGACCTTCCTGCTTCCTTTTGTTGTCTCGCATCATGATCGTACCACCTCTACCCATTGGCCCAAGGTTCCCGAAGGTTGTGTTGAGATGTTCCCAACCCTCATTCTCAATCACCCAGGGTATGTTGTCCTTAATCGCCTTGGTTTACTCCCGAGTAACTCCTTATAAAAGATGCTGGCAATTCGCGCCATACAATCCTCTCACCAATGAGACTCAGAGCTTGATCACCATCTAATCACCATCTCCGCTTAATTTTTCTTTAGTGTTTCCTTTATTTATTTATAATTCTCCATTTGACTGTCGTTACTCCGTACTAAGTCATTCCATTCATTCTTACGATGTGCGTCTAGTGACTACCCCGGAAGCTACAATTATTCACCCACTTTACTTGCAGGTACTGGTAGATAGCGGGAGGCGCGTCATTGCGAGGCAACGGCCTGCAGTCGGCGCTCAAATTGAGGTTACATAAGCGAAATATCTTGAGGCCAGGTAGTAATTTACATAACCGAATATTGGCAGCAGAAACACTGGTAGCAACGCACTTTATGACTTCATCAGAACCTCATACCAGAATTCAACGTAACGTTCAAAAGTTTGAATGTTCAGGTCTCAGGTCCATTGCCTCCCTTGTGTCGCCTCTTGATAGATCTAGCTGGACCGCCGATTACAAGCAATCTCATTGGCAGCAGCTGCGCCCTCGCCGCTCGCTTCATGTTATCACCTCCAATAGCTCTCAAGCACTCTTCAAAAAGCTGTCTTCAACCTCCGCATAGACCCAAGGCTTCGCCGATGGGCAACTGTACACTGCGCTTTCGAAACATGGATGTCAGCATGACGTTCAAACTGTATTTACTACTGCAGAAAAAATTGTGACAGAGTTTGCCAATCTACAACTACTATTGGTGACATTATCCGCAGGCGAACGACGTGCTTGTAATACACACCATGTATCATGCTCTCCAGTGCTCTGCTCCCATATGTATAGTCACCACTAGTGAGCGACGCATTACTGCCCTGTTCGTGACCTCTCCTTCTGCCTTTACATGTACCCTACACTTGCCATAATGTCTTCAGCACCTCACCTGGCTCTTTCGTTTTTCCCGCGTTCGTTGTCATTCAGTCGCTCCGATAGGCCCACTAGCACCTTTGCTAGACGTTATCATAATCAATGACATATTCGAGTACAGGGGCTGCGTCTATGAACTCCATCAGGAAAAAGCCGAAATCGTCAGAGTCATAGAGGCAGCTATATAGCGCTACATAGGCGGTGTAGTACTATGTAGGCAACCAGGCTACTATATAGTACTACATACCTGGTGTAGCCAAAACCAGCACTATGTAGAGCTACAGGAGGCACTGACTCCTGAGGCGGTAGTAGCAACCTGTAGTCACTGTAGCGCAGTAGCAGTAGTAGTAGTTCTATTCACTACCAGCGGAAATACAAAATGTCTCAAGGTCAATAAAAGTATTCAAGTAAAAATCATTTGCCATCTCATAAGCATTCGCACTCGTCCACCCGGGGTCAACAGATGGTCCCATCTTTGGAATAAGGTGACACAGATGAACAATTTCATCAATATATATGACAGCTGCATTCCGATGCAGCTGATGAGTTGAACATGACACTTGACACAGGCCAGAGGAGGGATCTGGCTCCTGAAGTGGCATGAACCACTTGATGTAAGCTAGTGCTTGAGAGTACATCCCAACTTGAAACTGACAAGGCAGGGTGAATATAATACGAACTTGCGCAACTCGCACACCTACAGTATCCATTTCAGTTGTGACATTTAGGCCTTGAATAGTAACAGTTGCTTACCTTTGAATGTCTGCAAATTCGACATCCAAACACCATCACTTATCAGCACCATATCAAATTTAGAGGGGGACCCAGGTTTCTGGCCAGGACAAGGCTGCACTTCAGGTGTTGCTCTAATGTGCCACTGCTTTGGTGAGTCACTGATGTGTGGATCAGGGGGAGTAACAATAATGACTTGTCAATAAACATCAAAATAGGTCATGTGGACCAGGGATGATGTTATTGTGTGGCATGTGCTTGTGCAGGAAAGATTTGAGGGCTGGGAGAAACATGGTTGCACCATGTGTGGTGATGAGGTGTTGAACAGACTGCTGAGGGTGTGCAGGAGTCTTCACAAGAACATGGACCACATCAATAGGAAGAGTTGGACTTGTGTTTGTAGGGGCAGTGCTGCGTGACTCAGATTGTGACTCTTCAATCTCAGCATCCGAGTCTGATTCCAAGTCATCTCTGCAGTTGGGATCTGTGTGACTGGATGCTGTGGCTGACTGAGATCATTCTGACAACCAATGAAGGTAAAAACTATGCAGGAACATGGCTTCCTGGCATTGAAGCCATAAGGCCATTTGCTCTTCATAGTCGCATTTGTTGCTGGCACGATAGGTGTCTTTGGCAAAATCAATGTGTAGTCATTCTGGAAGCTCACTGTTGAAACCATTGGTGGAACCAAATAGAGTGATTGACTTAATGAAGTGTGACATTTGATGTATTTTAGGAATATTGAAGTGTTCATGAACTTCAAGCTCTTGCAGGATGTCCTTGTTGGTGTGAAACACCACAAGAGCGTTCTCCAGACCATCAAGGGATTCAGCAGTATGCATTCAAAGTTGTGTGTAATATGAAAAGTCTAGAATGGCTCATGCAACCACCAAGACTTGACTAGCAAATGAAATTAATTGTGTCAGTGCAGACTTTGTTGCACATGACCTAAAGCTTACCTTGGGACGACACCAGTGAGCAGACCAATGAAAACACATTGCATCTCTTTGTACTCTGTACCTATCCACTGTCTCATGGTAGAAATACCTTTCTTGAAGTGTTGAAGTCCAGGGTAATCTGGCATTGTTTTGAAATGTGCGTCCATTTCATCTTCACCAACAATCTCAAGACACCATTTAACTAGGTGGTCTTTGAAGACACCTTTATGGACCTGGTGAAGGAGGTCAGGCGTGAAGGCAAGGAAGATATTGGTGTGAGGGAGATTAGCCCAGAATGGATTATAGATGGCATGTAGCCTGTTGTCGTCAAATTGAATTGGATGCTGACCGTTCTTCCACTTCTCTAATATCTCTTTTGTCACCTCAGGGTCCTGCATCAGCAAAGTCAGTGGATTGCCTCATTTATCTGCAGTGACCAAACACTTTGGACACTGATTTTCTTTACAACATGCCACAAGACATTGCTCCAGAAAATCAGCTACATAAGCAGCAAGGATGGGGTAGACTCAATGGATCAACAAGTTAGCACAGACCATCTCAACACCATTTCAACCTGCAGCAATGAGGGGTTGGAGGAGCAGGGACATACAATGGTGGAAAAGTCGGTAACTGGCAAGGGAGCATGCATCAGAAGTAAAGCAATCAAGCTTTCCTGCAGGTAAGTATCCAATAAGGACTGTTGCTTGTGCTGACATTTTCCACCTCTTCTCTTTCATGATGTTGCAAATGGTTAGGTACACAGGCCATGCTGATTTATCACCTTGGAATTGCGACAGACACATTTTGTCTGATGCAAGAATGATTGGTGCAATTGTCACACCTTTTGGGAACAGTTTCTGGACACCATAGGTCAGTACTTGTCATTTTCGCTTTTTTTGGGGTACTTACTTGCTTGTCACACCACCAGTCTGCCATCCACATGTTGTCAATTACTTGGTGAAGTCCTGCAGGGTCCTTGTATGCTCACACAGGTGTGTACACCATGTGATCACAGAACAATGGATTTCCAATGAGGTCTTTGATGCACTCCACAGGATCACACACCCAAAGTTCGACATCTTCATGCAATATCTGGCCCTTCTCATCTGTTTTATTTCCCTGGACCTTAACCTTTTTGCAACTCCAAACTGCTCTGTGTGGAAGCTTGTTGACTTTTTGGAGGAAAGATTGGTTGTTGTGAAATGAAGGTTTCATTCAGTTTTGTGTCTATCACTATGGTTAGTATGAATTCTTCTATTTTCAACACTAAGCTTACTATAAGTAATTTTAGAAAATCATCTGTTCAAGTCTGGCCGAGGCTTTTAACAAGCCATTCAGCAAGTCCCCATTCCTCCCTTGTGACCTGAAGTTGATTGCCTTGCAGACATAACAGACATAAATTTGTACATACCCATCATAAAAGGGAGCCCATTTGTCCTTGCCCATACCCTCCTTATACTGCTGAAACCTTTCAAAGCCAGTTTGTCCTTCATGCAGTGTTTGGCCAGCACCATCACATTGTTCAAAATATTGCATGTGGTCCTCATCTTCAACCTCCTTGATGGTCACCTGCCAATGTTTTGGCACTGCTGGATTGTCTGCATTGGGATTGGAAGACTCAGAGCATGAGCGGCAATGGGGGGAATATAAGTCAGCATGAGAGTTGGTGTTGGTGTTAGCTTTGTTTGATGTTCCTAAACTAGGTATGTCAATGTCATTTTGATTTTCAACCAGCAGCTCCCATTGCCTTCTACAGTCAGGGTGTCCTGCAATATGTTTCTTGACACCTCCCAATGTGGGCATCTTCTTGGTACAGAATTCACGGTGAGGCATGGTGAGTGTTTCAGAGGTTGCTTTCTATTTTTGTAATAATGGTTTTTTTTAAAGGCAGGCCCTGCCAGCACACTATGCTAGTCTTGGAGAGAGGCCTGTCAGGGTGGATACATTGAGGTCGTGCAACTCGAGAACAGTGAAGATTGCTCAGTCAGATGACATTGAGGTCATGCAACTCAAGAACAGTGAAAATTGCTTGGTTGATGGTGCTGAGGATCCAATGGATGACAATGAGGTGAGAACAGTGACTGGTGCCATTCCAGAATCACTGTCTGACTCTATCACTGGTTTGGACATTACTAATTAAAATGCAGGCCCTGGTTCCTGTGCCACACTACACTAGTCCAGATATACCATGGGCGGCAAGCACTAACTCTAAAAGTTGTGCCTGTTTGGCCTCCTCACAATGCCTCACTTCTGCCTCCCAGTGCTCTATGATGAGTCTTCACAAGTTTGCTTGCAATAAGGTGAGAGCTGGACCTAGCACTAATTCTAAGAGCTGCAATTTTTTTGCATGCTCACAACCCTTCACTTCCGCCTCCTAATAGTCCAAAATCAGTCTTTGCAAGTAGGACTGAGGAGCCATGACAGGGCTGGGTGTTTGGCGAAATGGTGGAGGAAGTGGATACATAGGCTCATTGAGCTTTGGCCTGCAACACCAGTGAGTATTGGGGCTGTGATGAAGACATGCAGCTAACCTTTTGACAATAACATTTCCATTTTTACAGGTAGCAGTTTTGTTGCCTATGGCTGGTGACACAGGACTATACAATTTGTCAGAGCATGCTGGTGAGTGTTTGATGCAGACTCCATACCACTTGTTGACTAAGATATCTATGGTAGGGAAAATGTTGCAATGTAGTAATGGTACGCTTGCTGCTTTTATCATTTTCTGTCCATTGATCACAGCTTTAGCTCTGAACTTTACAAGCCCTGAAATCAACAAGAAAATTCAAGGTTTAGATGTCATTGTTTGTGTCTTTCATAGTGCTATAAAATCCGCTGAACCATGGGCTAATGTTCCCTTGTGTTCAGACAACCATGGCCACCAGTTGCAAGGTCACCTCAAAGCACACAAAATCCAAGGATGTGCAACCAGTGCAACCACCTACATGCACCCCAAGTGGTCAACAGTGACAGCCAACCGAAAAAGAAAATTACCATGGTAAATCCTGACAATATTGTGCGAGAATGTCTCACTCACTAGTGACTCTACAGTCTCTGAGTCTCAGCATGTTACCCATTGCCAAGAAAACAAGGAAAAGAAGTTAGAGAAACAGAATAAAAAAGCACTGAGGGCTGCTTATGAAGCTGATCCTGATGGCTTCGAGCAAGAGCCATCCGAGCTGCATAGCAACATTGATAGGGACAAAGAAACTATGGTATGATCACCCATTTTCTTTGATGCAACTCAGAATAATTACTGATAAAATATTTATTTAGTTCTCAGATTGTGATATGCTGTCCAAGCTGTCCTGGTCCAGACTCAGGGTCCTGACATTCAGTGCTGGTAAAATACCCTTGGTGTTGCACAACACCAGTGCCACCCACAAGGCTACTACCACAGGTATGTGTCTACTCTGTTGATTCTATACTAAGACTAATCCACCTCTGCTACTATTGAGCAGCTCTGACTCCAAGTCCATCTGATGATGAGTCAACAGACAGTGACTCTCAACCTGAAGGTCAGGTTGACCACACTGATGAAGAGGATGATAACAACATCGCCAAAGAACTATTGCCAATAGCTCAACAGACCAAGCAACCACTTGATGTGACTTTGGACAATGCCATGGTACTGCCAAAGATTAAGAAAAATTTGGATGGTTCATGCCAATGCATGAAAGCCAGTGACTTCGATGATGTCTCCAAAGAGATTCTGGTGACAGCAACCTCTATTTTCCAGTGTCTGATTGTCACCCAGGTGCCATTTCCTGATAATGTTGCTGTTGAGATGAAATTGGCAAAAGCAGCCTGGCATGAGGCATGTCAAATCAAAGGTATCAATGTCAAACTGACACCTTCAGGGGTCAAAATGGTGAGTCGTCTGTTCTCCATGTGTTCTTCATCTGATTTATATCATACTTTGCAAAGCTATTGACCTGCACATCACAAGTTCACAGGGAACTCAAAACAAAAATGCATTCACTGACTGCATCTTTTTTCGGTTTCCAGATGAGCAATTCCAACAATGTGATAAGACAGAATAGGGATCTAGCAGAGTCTTTGAAAGATGGTGCTGTGTTTGCTTTCAAGGTATGCATTTTGATGATCTACATGGTGTTTCAAGTCCTGACTCCTTGGACTAATAGGATTGGGTGTCGAAGATGGGAATCTACAAGATGGAGTTACTGCAACTGGGTATCAACGTCATGTGGTTTGCAAATCGACACGACGAAGGTGTCATACACCATAAATACTTTAATCCTATGCCCATTGAAGTTATTGCTCTTGTGCTTACAACTGTGAGTCTCTTATTCTATATTCAAGTTGATGGTGCTGATGAATCACTGGTAGATTGAATGTTGTATTGATGAATGGTTACAAGGTCTGAAGGAGGATATTAAATTCACGTCGGCTACTTATGGAACTGTCTACCATGGTCATTTCGGCTCATTGCAGCGCTTTGATGAGCGCACGGCGCCTTATAAGCTCCTCGAAAGAATTCGTACCAATCTGCACAACACGGCTCGGTGTGTTGAACAGTGTCCTTTTGGAAAATGATATTCTAACATTCGTGCTTTGAAGTTTCCATGCAGGTGTCGACACCCTTACTATCTCGTCATCTGCATCCCGGATCAGTGATGCAGCATTCGAAGATGCCATCCGAGAGTATCGACTTGAGGAGCAGGATGATGCGGAGGCTAGCGAGTCGTAAAATACGTTGACTTGTTGATTAGCAGGCATTCAAATTCATTTGTTTTCGTGATTCTGCATGCTACTATGTGATATATGTATTACCATATAGCTGCTGGAAGCTGGCAGTAGTAGCGCTACATGAACTATGTAGTGCTATATAGCTGCCTGTAGTAAAACTCCGAGGAACTACAGTCTACCACTGTAGTACTACCCGAATCTACATAGCACTATATAGTACTACATAGTACTACATAGTTGCCTCACATACTAAATAGAAGGGACTTGACTACCGAGCTACACGGTCTACCCTGGCTATATAGTACTATATAGTGACCGGGCTTTTTCCTGATGTCCCAACCGAATTCAACCTGAGAAGCTAACAGGGACCCGGGCGCACCCAGTCTGCGATAAACTTGCCCTGGGCCAGAGTGTACTGGACGTTCTCAATGTCAGGACCTTCTAACGGAAATTTGGCTGAGAACTAAAGTCCAGGTTGGCTTATGACAACCTGCCAAAATGGTATGAACATAGTGCGGGGAAGGGCGGCCGCGGGAGGACACAGACAGGGAGAACGTGCAGCCTGAGTCCACTGACAGGAGATTTGGAATGAGTAAACGTGGACAATATTTGTGGTAGGTCAAGACTAGCTGAGTCGGAGTGCTATGGCCAGACTCAGAAGGTGCCGCTGCAATTAATGTGACCAAGCGGTGGATATTTGATGGTGGATCTGGAGAGTCGAGACCTGGCAGGGATAGGTCTATAGGGTACTTCTCTAGGATGTTTCGAAGCAAGCCAGATGCGATCAAAGGAAGCTGCTGGGAACCAAGTCCAGAAAACCGCGGTCAGTGCTGGATGCTTTAGCTTGGATCGTCAACTGATATGTATATGAAATTATTGCCTGGATACTCGTCACTGTAATTGCAGTAAGTGGTTGCGTAAGATATAACACAACTTAACTTAGTCCACCATGCAGCTCGTCGCAAATATTTATGTATCTAGCATCTGCATCAACACTGGGCTGTCGCAGTTGTGATTCGTGGCTTCTTTTTCTCCCAACTTTTTAGGCAATTCAACATTTGAAGAGTTTATCGGATTTCTTGATGAGTAGTACTTGTTCGCTCATCACGCACAAGAATTTCGAAGATCCGATGAATATGATTGAGCTTGATGTCTATCGCCCACCTCCTGACCAGGGAGCCAGGAAAAAATGACACACGAGCTTCGAATATCCGCTGCGCTGCCGCCGGTCCCCATCTTTCATCTCCGTCGGCCCCTGCCCTGTTATTTTTTCTTATTCAATGAATCCAGGTCGTGATAATAACAGCGCCAAGGCGGGGACCTTCTACTACGAGTAGTTTTTGAAAAGAGTGGTGCGCAAATTCAAAGGATTGAGTTAATATTGTTGCGCTCAGTTTTATCACCCAGATTTGTAGCTCCTATCGCCACCATGTCTGTGTTATCGCCGCCCCATCTTGGCCCCATCTGTCGAAAACAATTCAAGATGCTCAGTATAAAAAGCCCACCGTTCTCTGAGCGTTCCTTTGTCAATTCTTCGTCTCATTGTCGAATTATCCTACTAGCGACTTGCATATTATATAATACTTTTTTCCACCATGGAGTGTATACTGTCAGAAACATCGGCAGAGACCTCATGCTCGATCTGACGGACAACAGCACCGCTGAAGGCAACCAGATCCAAGGCTACGCCAGAAATGGCACCATGGCTCAACAGGTATCTATACGCGTTCGCACCCGCTTTGCGACCGGTTTTCGTACACATCACATATACTAGTGGGTGATCAAGATACAAAACGAGCCAGGGTCCGCCAACAAAACTGTCAGCATTCAGGTCGGCGGCGGCAATGGTAATGGATAATAATGGATGCTTTGCTGTTACGAGTCAGGTATGCTAGATCGGCATTCATTTATTCATTTGCTTGTTAGTTGACGCGGACGTGGACAGAATTCGGATGAACCAGTCGTTTATACTAGGCAGTTGTTTCTCGTTGATCTTGTTGGACGCGCGGACGATACTTTTACGTGAGAACCCGATGTAGCTCTCAGCAACCTATTTTTGCTGATTTAACGACTCGCATGTACAGTATGAGCTTCACTCTCGGGAACAAGAATCGGGTGCTATCCATTCCAAGCACAAAGAATAGTGCAGTAAGTCGGTGGATATTCTCTTCAAAGCCTTTTGCTTATAACGTTCACAAGGTGAAACTCGAGAATTACGACAAAGGAAGTGCCCGCCAGCAGTGAGAATTCACCTGGGTTTCTGGTCTCCAACCAATTGGCAACTAGGCACCACCTTGCAGAGGTTGAGCTATTGAAAGTGTTCCCACATATATATACTACGTCTTGTTGCGACTGCTTCCGTTGCTATTAGTATGTGTAAGTTGACCAGGATTGCTTTGGTCTGGCTCTCCTAGGAAGATGAATTGGTAGAAGATAACCATCGGTGAACCGTTCGAGGAGGGTGCGCAGATCAAGCGCAGATCTCGCAAACAAGCAACGCGCAGTATTGTAAATTCAGACAGACAGATATTATCACTAGCAGTCAGTTGTCAGGCATAAGCGCGCACAGCGAGGTGCCGATCACGTGGCGCCGAGATGCAATGAGGCTTGAGCATTGTGAACGGCTTCCAACACGTCTGGCAAATCCAGCACAATTGTCGACGCTGTATGCCTCTGACCACCACCACGACCACCACCAACGAGTCACCATGAACCGACTACGCTCTTCACGTGCCCCCTCCCCGACACCTACTACTTTCTCCGGAATCTCTAATTACCGCACCGAGTCCTATCGTCCGATCAAGGATAAAGGCAATGTCCCGGCCGTGCCAGCCGTAAATTCCAGGGTAGTCGCACGCACGCATTTTGACGAGTTAGCCAGTTTTCTAGTGTCCTATCTTGTGAAAGGTGCAGTCTGGTGTTTCATGTAGATTTTAATTTCATGCTGATGCTACGTACCTTCAGCTCCGCAGGAGTCGCGGGCCCACGCACGCTCAAAATTGACAAATCTTACCAGACAACAGTTCCATGAGCTATCAACTGACGTATACGACGAGCTCGTCCGACGTCGAAGGAACACTCCCGAGAACGACGGTAAGTCACCTGACTTACATCATATCATTTGACCAAGTCGCTTCTCCAGTCCCATTCCTTCCCGTGCGTGATGAATTTCATCCCAAGCGGAATCAGGCGCGCCAGAAATTGGCAACGCTGCCTAGCGCCAAGTTTGAAGATCTTTGTAGCGATGTCTACTTTGAAATCATGAGAAGATATCCCGAATTTACAGAAGTAGGTAGTTTCATCGTTAAATGTTGTTTAATTTATACTAAGTCTGGTGCCAGACGGAGGACCCAGGGGTAGCGTCTCCCGCATCAGCATATGATGATGTACCCTCGCCTGAATTCCACACGTCCCCGCGGCCTGACATGCCCATACTCCCGCCCAGTGCCCGCACAGGGCGATCATCCGAAGATCGGGGCAGCTCACGCGAAGAAGAGACTCGGCGGAGCGAGGACACTCATGCATCCCGACGAAAAGCCTCTCATGACCAAGGGGCAGATTTTGGCCGAAGACCAAGTGCCTCCGCAAGTATCCGGAGTGACTCAACGGGAACTACAAATGCGCAGAGTGCAACCGCAACGAGTGGGATGGTGATCCCAAACAAGAGCACCATCGCAGAGGAAGATATTGAGGTGCCATACGGGCGGGAGATGCGAGAGAGCTCTGGAACAGCCATCGATACACGCGAGGGCGTCAGGGAGCTTGATACCACCGACGGTGAACATGAGCACTGGGACCAGCGGGGTGGACTAAACGGGCTCAGCGCACGGCTGAGGAACGTGCATACGGAGGATGATGATGCGGGGGATGTGAGGAGCGACGAGTATGATAAAGTCTCTCTGGGACGTGCATCAGTGACAGTCCGATCGGTCCATCGGTGGGTCGAGGATGCCTAGTGCAGCGGGCGATGAACAAGAGCGTTTGAGGCGAGATTACGAGTTCAAGATTGCCACGATGCAGAGTCGTATCACGAGTCTGGAACGAGACCTTGAGCAACGGGAGTTGGACACGCAGCAGACAGTACGCTGTTTAGAAGAGGAGCTGGAAGGTTTCCGAAAGGCGGGTCCTGAGGATCTTTTCCTCTGATAGTCGCTAAATTGAGTCTACAGCGTGCCGAAGAACATGGATTTGCTATGAAGGCTCTGCAAAGGGAGCTGGACGATATTCGGGACCTCCGGACAAGAGAGAAGGAACGCGAAGCCAGACGAGCACAGGCTGATGAGGAAGAACTGCAGATACTCCGTGACCGCTGTGAACGCCTTGAAGAAGAGCGCAGTTCTGGCTTCGGAATAGTACGTCAGTAATCTGAAGTTGATGGTGCTAAATTTGACGTCTTTTTGCAGGACAATAGCGAGATTATCGAGCAGCTACGTTCTGATATGGAAGGGTTGATGTCAGAACTTAGCGATCTGTCACGCAGGAATGACGAGTTGATGACTGCGAAGGATTCGGACCTCACTGTGATCCGTGATCTGGATAGCCAGCTCAAAGAATATAAACGCAAATACGAGCAAGCTAAAACCGAGCTCAGGAGCGTTAAAGGTCCGCAAAGATATTTATTTGATGCAACTAGCTCTTATCTGATATTTTCATGGTCAGCCACATCCCAGCTCTTCTTACAGGCACCTAAGATGGAAGACCAACTGCCAATGGGTCCTGACGGGGGTCTCGTCGACATCCATGTCACTGCCTTCGTGTCTGCCATTGATAGCCTTTTGACAGCCGGTCGTTCTAGCGCTCCGACACGCGTTCTAGTACCGATGAAAGCTGTCGTCACGTCTACCACAGCCATTATCGATGATGTCCGTGCATATGAACAACGCCCATCTCGCGCGGACGTTGACGTTGACATCCTACACACTCTCCGCGAGCGTGCCGAGGCTACCTTGACCAACCTTGTAGCTGCATCCAAGACGCATGCCACTGCATCCGGCATGTCTCCTGTGAGCCTATTAGACGCAGCCGCGAGCCACGTCTCCGTGACATTGACGGAGATCGCGAAGATGATCTACATCCGCAAGGCTAGTCGGGCCGAGCAGGAGGAGTTCATGTCTTCCTCAAGTTCTGGTTCGCTGTCATATTTATCTTCTGCGCGCTCGACAGAAGACGTGAGACCAAGCTTTGAACGCAAGGGTTCTACCTTTAGCGTGAGACGATCAGAAGATGTTGTATCACCCCCTATGACCGCAGCATCGCGCTTTGCGGAGGCTCATAGTAGACGAACGCCATCTGAGCCATCTAGTTCACTCACAAGTTCTCCTCCGCCTATATTTGATAAGTCTCCTATCACCAGTGCATTGGGTGCAATCAGCGATGATTCAGCACCGCCTGAAGGCGGCGAAGACGCTTGGTCCGAGCTCAAGGTCAGTGACACCAGCACACCTATCTGTTTTATCGACTGACAAGTAGTACTCCCCAGCCCTACCTCGAAGCGCAGACCGAGTCTATTGTTTACGCGATCCAAAGCGTCCTTTCCGGCGTCCGCAGCCCTGTGCCGCCGCCGACGCTAAACGAAAACCTAACTCAGATCATCACGATCGTGTCGAGTATCGTCGCCGTTTGCAGCGACAACCTGCCTCCGGCGTCTGCGCAGCAGGGTGCAGAGCTACTGCGGGAGCTAGGCGAACACGCACGGAAGCTGTCCGAGGTACAGACGCTGCCAGAAGTTACGAAGGAATCGCGGCAGGTCATGGCCAAATCAAGCTTTGCGGTCGCGAATGCGATGAAGGGGCTCATGAAGTTGTGAGTTTGAAGGGGGCACAGTGTGATGCGATTAGGGTGGATGGCTGGTCCATGCATCGACGTGTAATGGTAGTATTATGAGATGTGGATCTTCGTTAATTATGATATGCTCCTTGTAGTTCAATTGCTCAGATACCCTTTTCAAGGATCCATTTCCGTCGACCATGATCATATTAGTAGATCTAGTACTTAGTAGTATACTTGCAGCTATTTGCACTACTATACGACGATAGAAAATACCTCTCTCCGAACCATAACACGCCGTATCGCAAAACTAGCGATCTTGGTTCTTCGATGACAATGACACCAACACACCCAGGATACCATGGCCTGCTTCGACAAGATGTGTCCCTAACTGCGAGAGGAGAACTCTGAAGCATGGCAGAATTTGACGAAGGAGACATTCTTGCGAGTAGACTGTATGCATGTCAATTGCGAGAGATGAGTTCATACTGGAGACTGCGATACCAACTTCAGTCAACTGAACGACATACCTTGAATGTTGTAGTAAAGGATCCAGGTATCTTCTAGTCGCTCGTCGGTCGATAGTACTGCGACAAGGTGGCGAAGGAGAACCGATTTAGGGTCGCCCGGGCCCGGGAGATGACTCGCCCTGTCCACTGGGAAGCAAATATGTGCGAAGGAATGCGTTTGTCTGACCGCGTCCGATCCCAGGATGCCGCGGCTGGCTGATCAACCGAATAACTTTCTTTTTTCTGTTGAAGCATCCGTTGGCGCGGTGTCACACGCGTGTGCTGGATCTCAGAGAGAAATACTAGCATGTACTGCATTGTCCATGATCTGAAGGGGTTTCGGTATCAGTGAGGGACTTTCACATGATAACTCCCCGTGTGAGATGGAAAATCTGAAAGAAATGACCAGCCCCCCGTGTACGTCGAGGGAGATGCGCTAAACGGTCTCCTTCCCAGTATAAGAATGTCAGCTTTCCTTGCTGAAGCTTGCCAATACGTTTCGCGAAGGTCTTAAGCCACTGAAGGCATGGATGTATGGGAGGGAATACCCTGTCATTTCTGTATCAGACAAGGTAAGAAAGGTATCCGACAAGGTGTAATTGACCAGCGACGAATCAGTTTGCACGAGCTCTTCGACAAGTGGCAAACAGATATAACCCATAAGCTCCTCTCTAAGGATGATTGTTGCGGGCGACCCGTGAGCATAGATAATGGTGGGTACAGAACTCCTTCCTGAGGCATAGAAATCGTTTCCCTTCGAACTTCTTCTGGTGATCGAGGAGGTTGTGGAAGCGGTATTACCTACCATTGTCAGTCTCTTTCCTGCGTGAGAAGAGCACAGACACGAGATAGGCTTGATACGAGAACCAGACACGTTGTAAATCTGAGTTTCATGTAAAGGGGGCACTATCGATGGCAGGACAGACGATGCGGAAGTCGTGTTGATAGCACTATGAACCAAATTTAGAGAGACCAGAGAAATATCGTAGGAGTTGTTGAGCAGCTGTATCTTACTCGAGGAGGCAGGGCGAGAAGCCCTCTTCTGCTTGCACGGACGGATTCCGAGTCATACCAGAGCGTACACAGCATCCACAACAGCACCTAGTGTATTCACTGTTCAGTATCTCTGCTGTGACAATCCAGGTGGAGCTCTTGGGTCTCAAGATTGAAAAGGCAAGCTTGACTCGGTTTTGTGAACACTGCTTCATGTTATGTCTTGGGGGCAAGAAAGGGTCGCGCTGGGGCAGACGGGCTGTAAGTGCAAAAAAGCTAGAAAACCACACTCGTAATTTACCTGTTAGATGTTGTTGCGGTGTGTCACCGTGACTCGGAGCGATATAATCTGCTGATTGAAGTTGAGCCACTTTTTCCTTGATCAACATGACCTTCTGGTTGGACACTGGAGAAAATGTTGCAGAGAATGGTTCGGGAAAGAGCTGTACAATCACTATTACATAGCCTATCAACGAAGGCAATTGAAGGAATTTCAGGTCACACCCGGGCCTAACCAAGCCAGCTGTGAAATTTGGGTTTGGCAGAATGCCATGACCCAACGCAACTTTTGGACTGGAGATTCGGACTGGCAGATACATACGAAACTAAAAGAAAAAGGCTGTTGTCATCCGGATATTTGCCAGGGTATTCCATGACGATACTTCAGCAGAGTTGCTCGCCATTTAACCTCAATGGTTAACCGTCCGCCGCCCCTGGAAGAGCAGGCCCTCTGAGCCTCATGTACACTGCTGGAAGCGTATATGGAGGTGAGACGCTCGCATCACCCCTTCGTCATATTCATTATTTTCTTTGCTCTGGCTCAGCTGCAACCGACACTGGACGTTCAGGAGAAGGCTCATGCTGAACTCGTCAACTCGGTCGGACACCATAGGCTTTCTTATGAGTACGAGGGCTATCGTATTCCTCGTCAAGTCGTGGATCATGTGCAATGTCTGGTGAGTCTTTTCATTTTATTAGCAGATGCAGCCCACATGTGAGATAGGTCCATGACCGGTCGACCCATGACTCTGAGATATACAAAGACGCCAAACTCTTTAATCCCGGTCGGCACCTTCCTGGGACGGTCAAAAATCCAAGGCAATTTACCTTTGGGTTCGGAAGATGGTCATTCTGCCTTGAATTGGTTTGCGGACTTGGTTTATTTAGGTCCTACCCTGGCATTCACTTTTCCAACGCGGAAACGTTCATTTTCATCACCTGCGTCCCACTCTTATCCTGCAACAGACGTAGATGAAATAGAGACTCCTCCACTATTGTCATATACGCCAACCAATACGTCACATTTTCGTCCCGTGGTATGCTGATAAATTATACAACAGTCAACTGACTCCCTTCGAGTGCCTGTTCGAGTTGCGGGATCCCATGCCGAAGGAACTCCTTTGTGTTTGAGTGGGTCAATAAATTGTATTCTGGATTACCACCTCTTGTACTAGAAGTTTCGATATTACAATCTGTTTTGCAGTTTAATTCAAGCAGGGAAAAAACCAGACGAAAAATTAGTTCTCCGTAGCTGATAGTAGATACTGTAGCGCTGTCGTCATCCCCTGTTTGGTGCACTTACTATATTCGGCAGAGCTTCATGCATCACGTGACTAGTGCTTGTCCCAACTCTTCTGATGGCAGTTATCGATATGCCTGTCCATCAATATTATACTACAGCCATATTATGCATTGACCCTGGCCCTCGCTGCAAAAACTCGACTTAAACTCTTCCTTCAACCTAGACTCTTATAAATCTCCGTTCGTCGTGCCATCCCACTGGAAGAAACGCTGTCACAGTTATTGATAATATAATAGCTTATCTGTATAGCCAAGCCTGTACCAACTTTACTAGCCCAATTCAGATCACGAGAACCATCCACGAGAAATGCGAGCGATATGCACTGTTCATTAGCGTGGCCTGGACACCAGGTGCCAAGTTAGGGGCTATTGAATGGCTTTACATTCTAATTATAACATCCCGTTAGTGCCACGCTCCTTCCCTATTATCGTTCAAGGCAGCTGATCACAAGTCTACCGTTCTCAGTTCTCTAGCCTTCATTTTGTTATCGCTGCGAGCACGGGACATGTCATGCGCCCACAAAGAAGATATGCGTAGCGGCCTATCTGACAGTATCTCTCAGGTACGAGACCATACATATACCACAATAAAGCCTGAATCATATCTGCGTTATCTCTCTCTCCTAACAATGACTACAGTTTCGTTCAGAGAGAAAATCAAAGGCATAGGCGGCGATGCATCGTACGAGGCAAAAGCTCGCGTCTTCCAGGAACAACTTGAAGCTAAGATTCCAGCAAATCTCAGACTCTCACCAGCGATTCTTGAGGACCCGCCTCTTGATGTTACTCGCATCCCCGAGACATGTGGCTTGCTCACTCTCCAAGAATTAGCTATTACCGAGCTGGATGCAACTGCCGTGTGCCAAAGGATCGCTGCAGGCAAGCTGACTGCAGTTGATGCTGTCACTGCCTTTGGAAAACGCGCAGCTATCGCTCATCAACTCACGGCTTGTCTCATCGATTCTTCCTCGATGAAGGCATAAAACAGGCGCAACAGCTGGACGAGTACTTCCGGAAGGAAGGCAAGGTCATTGGGCCACTGCATGGATTGCCAATTTCAATCAAAGTAAGGGCAGAGCGACCAAATAGCGATGATCTACCTCAGATGACCACCATCAGGGCATGCTTCCGGTCAAGGGGACAGTTGGGTCTGCAGGCTTCCTCATGAACATCGAAACTGCGACCGAAGACTGTGATATGACAAGAATTCTGCGTTCACTCGGAGCAGTATGTAATTTACGCGTGGAATTATATTCTGTTGGTCGAGCATAGTTGTAGTCTTCTATGTCAAGACAAATCAGCCGCAGACTTTGATGCACCTTGAGTCCAAGTCTACCTACGGCCGAGTCGTAAGTCATCTCTCGAGTGAAAAACGTGTCTGTGACTCAAGTTTCATAGTTGAATCCCTACAATACAGATCTTACTGCAGGAGGATCTTCTGGCGGTGAATCAGCCCTTGTTGCAATGAAGGGCTCTTGCATAGGTGTGGGCACGTAAGTCTGTATTCCTCTACATCACACCAGAATTTGATACATTGCCATCAAGCGATGGCGGGGGATCCATTCGAGCCCCATCCGCCCATTGTGGTATATATGGGTTCCGTCCATCTTGTCGGACGACGCCCCTCCATGGGGTCCTATGGTAGTAAGTATACCAAGCTCTGTCGTGAAATTATGTTGATATCACCCAAGTCAACCTGGTCAGGATGGATTCTTCAGTTCTGCAGGCCCAATGTGTCGCTCAGCACGAGACATGCGACTTTTCCTTGAAGCTGTGCTTGGAGCCAACCCTGCACTCCTGGATCCAGACGCGTTGCCAGTGCCACTGAAAGTGCCAGACCTAACCAAGAAGAAACTGCGTATAGGAATCATGATGCACGACGGGGTTGTGATGCCCCATCCCCCAACCATTCGGGCACTGAAGTGGGCGAAGGCAAAGCTAGAAGCCTCGTCAGAGGTCGAGGTGGTGGACTACCCCCCGTATGACCACGATCGCGGATACAGCATAGTTGTGAGTGTAGTGATCTGTAGGGCAATAATGTCACTCACCTGTGTCTAGCGCGAGCTCTACTTTGAGGATGGAGGAGCCACAGTTCGACGCATTCTGAAGGAGAGTGGAGAAGAGATGCATCCCCTGACAGAGTGGGTCATCAGTCCACCACACGTGAGAGATCATGATGCCGCAGAAGTTTGGAAGGCAAGACAACATTTTGCTGCCAACCGATGCGAGCGCTGACCTTGATCAGCTGCGTGATGAACGTGATAATTACAGGAGAGAATACTCTGATCACTGGTGGTCCCAAAATGTCGATGTCGTCCTTTGTCCACCCTTCCCAGGTACAGCCAGCCGTCATGACACCGCAAAGTACTGGGGGTGCGTCATGGTATCCCGCTTTATATCAGACATCTAATCGCCCATTAGCTACACTGCCATCTGGAATTTACTGGACTACCCTGGGACGGCTTTCCCGTCAGGTTTCGTCGCTGACCCAGCCATTGACATATATCAGGAACCACCCAGCCCAATGAGCGCGGCGGATGAGTACAACCTCTCCCTGTGTCCGTCTCTCGTTCTCGTGTTGGATAGCATTGACTGACGCTTGCATACAGATGATGCAATGAAATTCAAAGGGGCTCCTGTATCGCTGCAGATCGTGAGCCGTATATACAACGACGGTTTAGTGCTGGCTGCACAGGAAGTAGTTGAACGCATACTCAAATCTTAGGCACTCTTAGTGTTGTGAAGCGCAACGAAAACTGAAGCTTGTCTGGATCGTTACCGTAGATCATCTATGTCAAACCCCATATTACTAGTTTCGTCAGCCGGAGCAGATGTTAGCTGACAGTCTTTTTCCTCTTACCACACCTTAAATCACCATTGTCGACCGAGGTCTATCGCAACCAGTCACGCTATTAAGTTACTAGCCAAGCAGGTAACAACAGATTTGAAATCGATTTGTTCCTCCTGGAGGCCTATGCTGCCCTATGCCAGTTCGGTTTTGAAACATGCCGACAACAATTCGAAATCTGCTAGTTCGATTGAAACCTCTTGAGGTCTCGTGCCTGTCTACTACGACAAGGAATTCACCTCCAGGCCATGTGAAGATAGCACGTACAGGCCACCCTAGGGAGTCGAGGATTGGTACTGTGTACCGCTGCGCGCTATTTACTGATAATCATAAACATATGCTGGTGTGATCCCGAACGGGACGAGATGCTAGAAACAATGATATTATTACAACTGGTCTCCGGATACATCACTTCTCTGCTATAACAGACATCGCTCTCCTTGATTGGGTAAATGACAACCCAGCCGATTAATTCATAATAGTACATAAAATAGATTTACACAAGGAAAGAATAGATGGGATAAATTCATTTGGGTTCCTTAGCTCTGCCATTTCACGGGAGTTTGTGCGAAGAAATCTTCGTCGCTCACCATCTCTATTCCGTGTCTACAAGAAGTGAGATCAGCCTATCACGAGAATCATCAACAAAACCACTCACGATCCTTTCAAATGCGATCGAAGCGCATTGAAGTCCATTGATCTGAGCTTGCTCTTCTTGTTTCTCTGGCGTCTCTCCTGGTTTCCCGTTTGTGAGTCTTTTATGTGTGACCCCTTCGCAATAAATTCCCCAGTAGAGACCCGCTTCCTCCCCATCCATGCCAGCATCAGCTGATTCGCTAGCCGGAACGCAATGACGGCACCGATAATTCGCCTCGCTCCTCAACTTCCGTGACTGAAAACCCATATCCATAAGTTTTGCAGACAAACCCGCCTCAAAGGCACGCTCTGGCCCTTCCCCTTTGGACAGTATAGCCACCTGCATATTATCATGTCGGTGCGAGTGACCAATCTACGCGTAGCGGTGGTGAGCGTCCCTCGATAAACAGAAGCGTAGAAGAGTGACTAACGAGGGTGGGGAAGTCCATGGTGATGAATGCATGTTCGCAGGAAAGACACCGAATGCACGCTCCAAGCATCTTGACAGTATTACGTGCGTTCGCATCCTCGTCGGTGATGCCTGTGAGCATCAGAAGGCATGCGACTGCATTTGACGCCTGTGAATGTGATGGGACATAGGGGGAACGTATACTTGAGCTGAATTTTTTTTCGGAGGGATATCAAACAACGAACCTTCTCATCTTTTATGAAGCGATCGACACTCCAATCCACTGGTTTCTTGTTTTTCTTATCATCACCGGGACATTCATGTGCGCAGACGCCTGCAAAATCGAGACATTGTTCCTTTTCGTACCGCTTCGCGACCTTCCCACACCCCTGGCATCTAAACTGCGCAGTGATCCTATCCAGTGGATGCAGCTTCGTTTTGCTCGCACTCCTCCACTTTGGAAACCCAAGCAATTCGGACAGTTTTTCCCGTACAGACGCCATCCACGTCTTCAAATCAGCTGCGACAAGTTCTGCGACGAGGGCCGAGTTCTTCATGTCTTTTGCAAGGCCACTGGAATTGGGCCTTGAACCCGTCACGCTCCCCTGCATGGTCGTCATAACTGAGAATTTGCGGAACTCATAAAGCGATGGGACAACTGTTCCAGCAGACCGTAGGCGATTGTAGTATTGCTCAACGTCGTCGCGACGCTGGCGGTAAGATGCTTCGTTTTCTTTATTTTGACGGTGTATTTGCATTTTCAAAAGCTGGGCTTCGATAAGGGGCTTGATCGGAAGGAGATCTGAAAGGACAACACTAGGTAAGACTATGATTCATCCACATGAACCTGACCGCATTTGCATACCGCGTAGCGTGACTTCCTCCAGCATATAATTCTTGTGCCTGTGCAATGAACCATAAGATTGGGAGTTAAGTAAATCATGCTCATTCCAGCCTTCCCGAACAGCGAGTGCCTTCGCCCTACATTTCCGTTAGGCTTCTGTTGTGACAGTAAGCTAAGTTCTACTTACCATGTTTCGTTTTTTGTCTTGATGGTGCGGTGCATAGCAACATAGGTGCACTTCCACTTCTGCAACGCAACTGCTAACTGCACTACTGGTCACATTGGCTCAAACTCTTGCAAAAAGTACATACCTCCATGACCTTTGGAAATTTCACGATCTGATCAGTGCATGCCTAAACGATTATGTCAGATAATTCCTAGCGATGCAAAGGTGTCCTGATCCAACCTTCCGCAGCCCCTCAGACGGAGGTGGAGATAAAGCTGAGAACGCTGCATAATCGACTCGAAAACGCTCCCACTCTGGCTTCTTCATCAATATGGTGGGATTATCGGGCCCTGCAACTTCAATTAAGCTACCAGAGCAGAGACTCGAGGAACGTGCGGAAAAAATCATACATGCACTGTCGAGGTTTGGATCTGAAAAGTTGTGATTAAATATGAAGATGTTTGGAAACTGGAATCCAGTCACCAAAGCAATGGGTGGACTCCACGTAGGGAATCCATATCTCGTCACGTGCATGACCTTTGAAAATAGTGGTAACATCCATAAGATATTTCCTACAACGAGGTAATCAATAATCAAATTTATTCATTCAGTTAAGACATCTCCCACCTGATGTTCTTCTTGCAACGCAACTATTGTAGTACGATAATCGCGCTCAGCACGCATTGCAAGAAGTTGGGAGGGTTGTCACTTACATCACGACATAAACGAATTCGTGCAGCAAAGCTCGCATAGAATTCTTTTGTGTCTTTCTTACACACCTGCAGGAACCGATTGCATCACTGTCAGTCCACATTATTTCCGCTCAGGGGAAGCGATTCTTGTTTACATCACAAGGCCCTCCATCATACACGAACGCTGCATATGCCGCCTCGCTAAAGTTTGGGGTGGGATCAGGCAGCGCATGAGGAAAGCACTTCTTGCGAATGGTGCGCCAGATGAAATCGGCAGCGGGATTGCAGACAAGTGTCGAACACAAAAGCTTGGATGTGCGAGCGACAGATAAAACATCGCGAGGAGAATTAGTTTGGATCAATATTTCCGCAAGGAGCTCGAGTGGAAGCATTGGAAAAAGGCATTGTCCTGCCGCACTTTCGGATTCTAGGAAGCCTTGGAGCTCTCGTACGGAAGTGCGACGTTTCTTCGTTAGAAGAAGAGTTGGAACTTTAGTTGGAGAATTATGGTCAGTCGCAATGCTTCCACTAGGCATAGCTGCTGGCTGTAGTGGCAACCAAAAGTGCCTAGGAAGAACTTGCGAGCTTTAAGTTAAATGCAGGTGCAACTGTCCTGGTCCAGTACTCAGTGTCCAAGGAACAAAGGGCTTGATCGGCTCCGATCGGCCATTTACATAAAGTTTGAAAGCCGATGCAAGCTTCCATATAAATATTATCTGTTCCTCTAACACGCGCTTTGAAAGATACTCGTTGGAATATTTGGGCTTATATTTGATAATTCTGATACTCGCAAGTGAGTCTTCGAATCTTGGCCTTTTCTAATCCTAATTAAAACTCAGGGGCATGCATTAGTCTTCCGTGCTCTGTGATACCGTCTGCAGCGCTGGCACTGCGGAGGAGATCATGATCCCATGGTCAAGCAGTGATTCTGCAGATCTCCTCGCTAACGATGACTGCATCGACTGGTTTGAATCAGTAAGTCCTGAAGGCCGTAAATCTGATTGCGCCGCTGAAATGGTAGATAGTTCAACGGTGCAGAGCACACATGTTGTCCAAAACTCGAGTTTCACAGACCAAAAGCGATAAAAAAAATGTCCAGTACGGTCCCTCATAAACTCGAGCTCATGGTTCAACGCAGTGGTTGCTGTCGACTGTTGAACGTTGAACCGCGGCAAAACAATACAGCATATCATATAATACTCGCGGCTGCCTGCTGCATAATCATTTTAAGTTGCAGTCATGCGGGACGGAATCTATTGGGACATTGAATTTTCGTTATTTTTTTTGTGGTGTTGTGTCAGCGACTTAAAGCTATAATTGTTAGTCCTATTATGTAACGAGGCACGAGCGGAGGAATAAAGTTTTGTCTTCGAGCGAACGGCTAACGTGGCACAATGCCTCTTGTCTCTGTGACACAACGACTGTTCGCACTCAGAACTTTTCGCGTCGCTCTCGTTTTTATTTTCTCCTTCACATCTAGTCAACAATAAACTTTCTTTACTATTTCTCATATTAAATCTACATGGCCAATCCATCAAATGAAGTCTGCCCCGATTTCAATGGGGATGCATATACAGACATCCGCAAAGATATTCATTGAGCAACAGGAGGAACCCAAGAAGCTGTTGTCCTATGTCTATCACAATCATGGACCATAGGCCATAATCAGAGGGTCAACAAGTGAAATCAGAACAGAGAATAAGAGCTGGCAGACACAGCAGAAGCTGACCAAGCCTGCACTGCCCAAGAAGACAAGGCATGGGCACAACAAGAGGCTGAGGACAAGAGAGAGAGAGAGTTGAAGTGGAAAAGAAGAAACCTAAAATGAATGGTTTCAACAACAGAGCATCAGTAGGAGATACTCTTGCCCCTCATCCCTCTCAGTACATGACCCAGAAGCTGAACAACTTTGAATATATAGAACTATTGTACTTCTCCCCAGATGGCTGCAAAGAAGCTCTGTGCACAGCTTGTTCAGTAGCTGATGACTTCAGTCTCACAAGGGTCAATGACCAACTCACAATTCGACCAGCATATGCCTTCAAAGCATCCAAAGCAGCCATAGCCGACCATGACCTGCCATTCTCAACCTTCCTCTGCTCCAAAAACCTTTTCCTGATGCAACTCAGCAAGGCCAAATGGCCTCAAATGCACATTGATGCCCTCTTGCTGTTTTTCTGGCACCTAGAAAACCACTCCATCCACAACCATAGCAACCTTGGGGACCTAGTGATACTGCACTATGCTTTGTGGGTCCGCCAGGACTGGCACGACTGTCTCAAGCAAGATGAAGCATTCAACATTGCCATCATCAACAAGATTCTCCTCCACTCAATCAACAAGGAACTCTGGGACAAAGTCCATTTGCAAAACTTCACCACAGTATGTTTTTCTTAAATTGCGATTCATAGAACCACTCTCTGACAATCATTGCATATATTGTCCTACACTCACCCCAAAATTCATCCCTTCGATGGCATATCCCAATCACTCCCTGCATTTTGCTCATGCAGATGCCTGCACGTCCGCTCACATGGATGCCCATACCACTGCTTACACAGACACTCATCTTCTTACCGATTCGGCAATACTCACACCTCAGCCCAGAACCAGTGAGTCATCTGCAGTGTAACCCCAAAATTGGAAGTCAAGTTACCGTGACCTCCCTCGAGACTTGTGTCGAAACAATCAAGAGCACTCTCACCATAACTCAAGGTCTCATTCTCCTCGTTGAGGAGGTAATGAGAACCGAAAATGCTCACCAGACAATTCAAGGAACAACCAACAGCACAAGCAGGGTTTTTCCCAAGGCGCAGGAACACACGGCTGGTCAGCCTGCACCATTTGCCTTGGCCACTTCACCCACAATATTCAACGCTGCAAGTCCTCAAAGCTCTGGGATGGAACACTGGCCTACTGCAAAAAGACCCAAGACAACTGCCTGGTCAACTCCCAGGGAAGCCCACTGTGCTTCAAGTGGCAGTGCCCCAATGGTTGCTTTGCCAGGAACCACAAATTGCACCATGAGTGCTCAGGTTGCGGAAGCAAAGAGCATGATGCTCAAGGGTGTCCTCAAGGCAAGAAAGAGTAGTGTGCTCACCCCATACAACCCTCAGGGTTGGGCCCATCTCCTCGAAGAAACAGGCCTTCTTAGTAGATACCTGCATATTCCTGGTTGCCTTCTATCCAGTTTTTTGGGGGGTATTCCCCTAATTGAATGTACATATGAACTGCCTAATAGCCCATCTATTAAAGAGCATCTTGAAGCCTTCTGGAAAATTATTAATCCTGAGTTTACGAAAGGCCGTTTCATTGGCCTGTTCACAGCCAAAGACCTTGAATCTTTGGTTGGTTATTTTCAAACAGCTCCACTTTCCCTGGTACCCAAACCAGGAAAACCTGGCAGATTTCGCCTTGTCCAAAATCTATCCTTCCCCCATAATCCATCTAAAACCATCTCATCCATTAATTCGTGGGTTGATTCAGACCTGTTTCCCTGTACATACGGAACATTCTCAACTATTTGTTTATCTGTCTGGCACTTACCTCCAGGGTCACAAGGTGCAGTCCATGATGTGGCAGAAGCCTACCACACAGTCCCTCTCCATCATTCACAATGGGCAGCCCTGGCTGTCAAGCTCCCCAGTAATGATTCCTTTGCCATTGATATGGCTTTCTGTTTCAGTTTTGGCCCCTCAGCGGGCATATACAGCAACATCAGTGATGCAGGTTTGGATATACTTAGGGCAAAAGGCATTGGTCCTGCCTCAAAGTGGGTTGATGATCACCTTTTCTTTAGAATCAAACTCGTATTCCTGGTGGAACACAATGCCAGACACACTCAATGGGCAAAAGAGATTGCTGAAAATGGGGGACTCATCATTAGCAGAGGACACAAATGGTATAAGGGTGCCACCATGCCTAACAGCTCAGCTGAAGAGTTTGACAAGGACGCTTGGTTCCCAATCCAAGATCTGTCACAATGATCTCCATGATCAAAGGAAGATGCAATGTTCTCATACTGCACAGCCGACATCGATGCACTCTTGTCGGAGATGGGCATCCCATGGGAACTGGCCAAAGACATACCATTCTGCTCAATGCCCCCATTCACAGGTTTCATATGGAACTTGGACAAAAGGACAGTGGACCTCTCAACCAAAAAGCGGGTCAAATATCTCCATGCCATCGCAGATTGGGAGTTGAAATGCATGCACACATTATGCAAGGTCCAAAAGATCTACAGGAAGCTTCTGCACATGGCCCACATTATCCCCATGGGCCAAGCTTACCTCACTAACCTCGAGGCTATATTGGCCATGTTCAATGACTGGCCTTTTCTCCCATGGACTCCCCCACGAAACACGCCAGACAACATTGACTGGTGGAAGAACTCCCTCAACAATGCATACATATCCCGACCAATACCTGGACCATGCACTGTCCTCAACTTCCACGCCTATTCGGATGCTAGCTCTGGCCATGGAATTGGCATCATCGTCAACAGCTTCTGGAGAGCATGGGAACTCATCCCTGGGTGGAAGAGGGACGGTAGAGACATTGGATGGGCTGAGGGTGTTGGCTTCAAGTTTCTCATCCGCACAATCGTTGGTTCTCAGACCACCGGAGTTCATTTCAAGGTCTATGGAGATAACAGAGGCATTGTCGAGGGTTGGTGGGCAGGCCAAAGTAGGAATTGGGCATCAAACAAAGTCTTCAAACGTGTTCATCGAGTCCTCGCTAGCACCAAGTGCTCAGTTCTTACTCGCTATGTCCCAAGCAGGGACAACCCAGCTGACAGTCCCTCCCATGGGATATACCCCCCCCACCAAGTTCCTCCTGCCCCCAATTAATATCCCAATCGAACTACAGCCTTTCATTAGGGACGTACCCGAAGCAGCCATCAACTCCAGACCTAACAAGCTCCCAACGACCCACAAATCATTTCACTCACTGGGCTGAAGTGTTACTGAATCTGAGAGCCACTGAAGAGCATTCATCAACTGCGAGTTCGAACGATGTGGGGAAGAGCTTTTCAAAGCGTCACAAAACTAGTAAGTTTTGTATGACTCACTCACCTGAGTCATCCTCACCATTTCATATCTAACAAAGCTTATAACACAAGCCTCACACCTATCCCATCCTTACTCCGCCCCCACTGCTTAGCAAGGGAGAGATTACATCTCTGGATCCCCGCATCTTCCAGAGATGCTCAAGACAAACAAGGCAATATTGTTCCCCTACTCCCATCAGACCTCCAGTGCATCCACAACACCTTGATTCATGCTTATGCCAAAGCAACTCGCGAAACATATGGCTCAGGACTGCTGACCTTTCACATATATTGTGACAGCAAAATGATCCCAGAACACCAGCATGCACCAGTTAGCAACATCCTCATATCATCCTTCATCACCTCAATGGCTGGTCACTACTCCGCTAAAACAATAGTCAACTATATTTCCGGAGTGTGCACCTGGCATGTTTTGCATGGCCTAACATGGTCCTTAAACAACATGGAAACAGAAGCCCTCTTGAAAGCTGCCATATCACTTGCTCCCGCCTCCACAAAGTGGAGCAAATGCGAACCATACACCATTGATATGATAACTGCTATCCGCAATCAGCTCAACCTCTCCGACCCTCTAGATGCAGCAGTTTTCGCTTGCCTAACCACAGCCTTCTTTGCCACAGCGCATGCTGGCAAATTCACAGTCCCACGCCTCGACGCTTTCGATCCTGCAAAACACGTAAAACCATCCAATGTTGGTGACACCCAAGACCGTCAAAACCTCTGCATGAAGACCTTTTTTCTTCCCCAAACAAAGAGCGCTCTAGAAGGCGAGGAAGTATCCTGGGCCAAGCAGACAGGGCCTTCTGACCCTGAAGAAGCTTTTGCCAATCACCTGCGCATCAATGAACCCCCTTGAAACAACACCCTATTCACCTACCATCACAATGACTCATACCATCCATTAATGAAAACCAAATTCCTACAATGCTTAACCCCTGCAATGAAAGCGGCAGGCTGTCAACCAGTATCTGGTCATGGAATTCGGATCAGGTCAATTCTCAAATACTTGCTTTGTAATATCCCATTTGACATCATCAAAGTGAAGGGCCATTGGTCTAGTGACGCTTTCCTCGCGTACCTTCGTCGCCACGCACAAATCCTGGCTCCTTACATGCAAGCCACTCCTGAACTGCAAGAGCAATTCCTCCATCATACTGTGAATCTACCCCCAGTCTGCTAACACACACATACACAACCAACCCAGTGAGTATCCTCCTCCTAAAAAATGGGTTTCCGAGCTTCGCTGGATGCGTCGTCGGCCCTCCTAATCAATTGGGAATCGCAGCTCACCTCTTTCTTTCAGGTTAGTCCCTCGGGGCCGGAAGACGCTGCGCGTCCTCGCCCGAAAACTCTCGTTCATTGTCTCTGCAAGTAATTCGTTCTGGAACTCACTTAATACCTTGTCCCTCGTTAGATTACCATATAACAACATCTTTTCCTCTAAGAACACGTCTGAGTGAACCTCAAAGAGTCTTATTTGCTCGTCGAAGGTTCTCTGAGTCAAGTTCGAAAAGACAAGTTCGAACACGGTCACGTGTGCAGCGCGCCGCCAACGCCAATATTGACTCAGTACTCATTAACTCGGATGCATCCTTCACATGTCACCAGTTCACCAATGGCTCGCAAAGGACAGATTGCTTCTGCACGTCTCACGCTGTTACCATCCACAGCAGTATTTGTGTCAAGCTGATGGCTTCCGGACCCCGGTAGCCGAGGTCCGAGCACCTTAAAAGCTCTATTCAACTATCATGCGCTGGCAGAAGCGCGAATTTATAACAGTGAACCTTTAGGTTGTTTCTCATAACTCATGTTACTGTCCCAAGCATGCGGAATTGGAATCCTCTCGGTTGTTCTCTGGAAATTCTTTGGAGAACTGTTGAGAAAACCTACCATCGACTTGAATGGTCCTAAGAAGGACCACTGGCTGACAGGTTCTTGGCAATGCTTTCTCTCATTCGATTATATATCTGACGTAGACATGCTAGGTAATTTCTCCAAAATGTTCAAAGGTGGCATCGACTACTGCGTGGAACTTGCTGAAAAATATGGCGGAGCAGTCAGGCTGTTCGGTCCATTTCGAACTGGAGTAAGTTGAATGCATAGTGCCATCTCTCCAGAGAACCCTTGTGAATGCTGCTCTCCTAGGAAGTGATATTTCTATCTGATCCCCTCGCGCTGTATCATGTTGTTGTAAAAGACCAGCATATATTCGAAGAACCTGATATGTTCATCTCGTCAGTGTTTATAACTCCCTCACGACTGCATAATATTGACTGCACGTTACGAAGAACTAACAAGGCGATGTTCGGAGAAGGTCTAATAGCCACTGTCGGTGCGAGGCATCACGGTATGGACTCACGAAAGGTTTCTGACAGCGTACCAGGGGAGCAGCATCGGAAGCAACGCAAGCAGTTTAATCCTGTCTTTTCTACTTCCAATACGCGAGAATTATTGCCCACGTTGCAGTCCATCGCGCACAAACTAACCTCTATCCTCGTAGCTAAGCTCCCGGATGATGGGTGTAAGCAGGTTAACACGCATTGATATAGCTGGTTCTGATTTACGTTTTGGAAACAGCGTACAAAGAGGTTGACATCTTGCCGTGGCTATCTCGCAGTGCACTCGATAGTGTCTGCCAGGCGATTATTGGTTATCCAAGCAATACTCTAGAAGCTACGGAAAACGATGAGTACCCTGAAGCCCTCCGGATGATAGGGTATGAGATATGAATTGTAATCCTCCCATGGTCTTACCGATTTTTTACTCGAATTGTAGCCCCTTAATATCAAGGTTCATATATTTCCGGCCATCCGTGGCAATAGTTATGCGCAATTTCTCACCGTACTGGAGGACGAAACTTCTGGATTGGATAACAGCACCTTGGATACCTACCGAAACAATGAAGGATGTGCGAGAGATGCGACGAGTCGTTGAAATCATGGACCGCGGTAGCAAGAAAGCTTTCGCAGAGAAAAAGGCGACGTTGGAGACTTCAGATACTTCATCCTCAGGCCAGGGGAAAAATATGATGGATATCATGCGTCAGTTTAGCAACGTTCGAGTCCGCAATTTACTGATGCTATACTAGTCAAAGCAAACTTTGCGTCTTCCAGTTTAGAGCGCCTCGCCGACACCGAGTTGTTGGGCCAAATGAAGTAAGTTACTCGTTCACCACGGGCATGGAAATTTTTATTCGCTTAATTGTAGCGTTATGGCGTTTGCTGGCTTGGACACAACCACCTCTGCTCTGTCTCGTTGTGTTTACTTACTTGCCAAGAATCCACTCGCCCAAGCACGATTGAGGAGTGAAATTCGTGATGCCGTCAGGTCCATGTCTCTCGCACAGAATGACTCCTCGCTTTTCGAGCATGACAATCCACTCCTTCATTTGTCGTACGATGCGCTAATAAATCTCCCGTTCCTCGATGGAATAGTCAGAGAGACCTTGCGGCTTTATCCTCCTTTCCCACACATGGCCCGAAAGTATGTCATTCATCTCCCCCAGGACCCTCAACTGAGTACTTCGACAGCGTGAACAAAGCAACTACGCTTTCCCTTCAATTTCCAGTTCGTTCGTCATCCGGAGCAGAACTGTCTGCTATTGTTGTACCTGAAAATACTGTCATTCTCATCTCCATTTTGGCTGCAAATCGTAATCGAAGTATATGGGGTGATGATGCAAATGAGTGGAAACCTGAGCGATGGCTTTCTTCCTCGGGTAGAAAGGACAGGCCAGGGACGGATGTTACCTTCGATGGTGTCGAGGCAAGGTCATCCGTACCCGCCCTTGGGGTAAAAGACGGCGTCAGGTATCCCGGTGTTTACTCCAACATGTCAGTCATTACCTGTTAAGCCACAGCATTCACTGACCATACGCAGGATGACCTTCCTCGGCGGCAGTCGCTCCTGCATGTGAGTCAGATACACAGCATACCCATCGGTGCATTAACGTCATATCTTGCAGCGGGTTCAAGTTCGCTGAAATGGAAATGAGTGAGCCCTTGCATCTTGCATTTTTCTTTCAAGTCTAACTAGCGTGACGTCAGAGGAAATACTTGCAGCGCTCATCCTTCGTCTGCATTTTGCGCTCCCAACTGATCCAGACGCCAACGGACACATCAAAGAAATTCAGTGGAAGTTGAAGGCATTTCACACACCCGTTGTGAAGTCACCAGCTGGAGACGGGGTGACACCACAGGTCCCACTTAATGTCCGGGTGGTGCGAGAGGAAGATTTTGTGTGGTAGAATTGTGCTAGGAATCCGCGCCCACCCAGACAGAGCGCGAAGTACTCTACTTACATGGTGTTACACCGCAGTCCTACTTACGAACCGACCAGTCCTCCAAGGATTGCTATTTTAATCAAGCATAATATTGCTACCACATCACAACACTGTAGGTCTCACAAACCAAATTTATTCATGATGAAATAGGCATACTTATGTAAATGGTCCTAGAAATATATGAGTGCATGGACAACATCATATCTACACCACGTCACGAGATTCTTTCCTGTTCTGCGCGCTGAGAATCGTATCACTACTGTCACTCTCATTTACGAACTTGAGCAGGAGACGGCCACGAATAAAATTCATTTTGCTGTCATGCTGATACGTGGATATCATAGAGGAAGTCGGGACACGAATAGATTGCAAGTGCGCAGCACAGCATGATGAAGTGGACATTGGCAACAGAGATATCAAAGCATCCCCGCAACAATGGGGCATTACGAAGATGGAATAATAATTTCTCACAAAGCTTGAAGTAGGAATGCTTTACCACAGTAAAGTCGCAACTCGAGGTGCAGAATCGCGCCACCTATGCGCAGTCAAAGACACGTTAGAGTTGACATACGTCAAAACGAAACACGTACATTGTTTTAACCCCGACAACCACAAAGGATTTCTCGACAAACTCTCGCACAGGATGAGTCTCTCCAGTGGCAAGAACGAAATGTTCATGCATAGGGTGCTGGAGCATGTGTCACATGCTATCAGCATACTCCTTGGCTATTATAAACACAATTAGCTAGAGACAATGGATCTCAACAAATGAAATCTTACGATGTCCCCAGTTTCTCTGCGCATCGATGATACTGAGGTACAGGCATTGCTGCTTACCGACACTGATATCTGCAACAGCCCTGGCCATCTTTCTCGTAAATATTTTCCCTCGCCTCGGTCTCTCGTGGTTGAAAAGGACTCCGTTGCACGCATACATGCCGTATGCCACGCGGTAGTTCACTGTGATCCGGTATGCGTACAGCTTGGTAACACTATACGGGCTGCGAGAGAAGAATGGCGTGGTCTCGACGACCTTTCCATAGAGTTCTGGGATCGAAGCCTGATAGAACCGCGTGTGCTTTTCGAGGCTGACGGTGCGGATGGCGTCAAAGAGGCGTAGGGCGCCGAGACCATCGACATCGGCAGTGTATTCCAACATCTCGGAGAGAACCTGTGCTAGGATGTAACTGGAGTGTAGGTTGAACTTGTCGAAACTGGACGAGCCACGGATTATACCATGAACTTCAAATCCCTTCTTCAGCAAACACTCCGTCCTGTGTAAAGTCGGGATATAAGGAATGACCGCAACCGCTATACGAGGAACATGCTCATAAGCACAATCTATCTTGACCAGTTGTTCCTATGTACATGTTTTCAATTTAGCACGCACGCAGCATAAGAAATAGGATACGCCAGCAAATGAAATTGTAGATGCGATATAGGAACAGGCAAAGTGATGGCACGACCGCCTGCAAGCTTGTTCAGACTGCATGTCATCTGCACTGCTTTGAAGTTTGGACGCCTAGAGAGGCAAAGGGATGAAGAGGCAACGAAGGGAGCGAGAGATGTCAGTAGACATTCCTGTGATTACTGACTGTGGTGGATGCCCAAAGTATGTATACAGAAATCAGAAACACTGGCCGCTTTCCTCTATAGAGTCAAGCATGACAATTAATGTAATAACCCACAGCAAAATTATACCGATATCTAGCCTCTTGATTATCGTTATCGACCATATAATGTGATATTTGCCTTCTCGGGTTTCTATCAGTTCTCTGATATGCCTGCGGAAGTTGCAACATAGAACTTTGAACGTTAATATCTACCTAACACCCTTGATAATCGTGGAACCTCTCGGACCTTGGTGCATTGCAGAGCTCAGTAGACTATTCAGTTTTCAATCAAAGTCAAATAATGATCAACGTCTGGTTTGACTTGTACCATACTTCAGCCAGTAATCGACATGAGCAATATATAGGAATTTCAGGAATAAATGACCGATAGGACTTGATGGTGGTGGTGGTAGTGGCGGTCAGAGGTGACTGGGCTTGCTTGGACTCCGAAGTCGCTTCATTACATCTCAGCGTCACGTGATCGGCACGCGTATGCCTCACTGTGACCGCTAGTGACCGTGACAATCAATGGCTAAATATTAAGTAAATGAGTGAAACAATAATGGGTGATCCACAAGTGGTGCTTGTTTGCGAGATCTGCACTTAATCTGTGCACCTTCTTCGAACGATTCACAGATGGCCATCTTGTGCCCACTCATCTCCCTAAGCTAGAGCCAGACCAAAACAATCCTATTCCGAATCAACGTACACAGACTAGTACACAACAGAAGCAGACACAACAAGACGTAGTACATATATGCGGGGAGCACTTTGCTCAACCTTGAACACCTCTGCAAGGGAGTGCCTAGTTTCCAATCGGTTGGAGATCAGAAACCCGGGTGAATTCCCACTGCTGGCGGGCACTTGATTTCTCGTAATTCTCGAGTTTCACCTTGTAGACGTTATGAGCAAAAGGCTTTGAAAAAAGATCCACCAACATACTGGACTTTTAGTTGCGCTTGGAATGGATAGCACCAGGTCCTCGTTCCCGAGAGTGAAGCTTATACTGTACATGCGAGTCGTTAAATCAGCAAAAATAGATTGCTGAGAACTACGTCAGATTCTCACGTATAAGTATCGTCCGCGCGTGCAATAAGATCAACGAGGAATGATTGCCTGGTATAAACGACTGGTTCATCCGAATCCTGCCCACGTCCGCGTCAAGCAACAAGCAAATGAATGAATGAATGCCGATCCAGCATACCTGGGACGCAGTAGCAAAGCATCCATTACCATTGTTGCCGTCGTTGTTGGACTGCATGCTGACAGTTTTGTTGGTAGACCCTGGCTCGTTTTGTCTCTTGATCACCCACTAGTATGCGCGATGTGTGTGAGAACCTGTCACAAAGTGGGTGCGAACGCGTATAGATACCTGTTGAGCCACGGTGTGATTTTCTTTGTAGCCTTGGATCTGGTTGCCTTCAGTGGTACTGTTGCCCGACAGATCGAGCATGAGGTTTCTGCCGATGTTTCTGACGGTATACACTCCATCGTTGGGGAAAGGCATTGTATAAGATGTAGGTCGCTAGTAAGATGATTTAAATGAGACGAGGAACTGATGAAAGAAAGGTCAGAGAACGCTGGGCTTTTATACTGAGCATCTTGGGCTATTTCCGACAGATGAGGTCAAGATGGGGCGGCAAGAATACAGACATAATGGCAATAGGAGCTACAAATCCGGGTGATAAGACTGAGCGCGACAATACTAACTCGGTCCTTGGAATTTGCGTACCATTCTTTGCGAATACTAGTAGAAGGTCTCCGCCTGGGTGCCGTTATTATTACAGCCTAGATTCAATTGACAGGACAGGGGCCGATGGAGATGAAATATAAGAACAAGCGGCAGCGCGGCGGATATTCGAAGTTCTTGTGTGTCAGTTTTTCTTGGCTCCCTAGTCAGGAGGTACATGACAGGCATTAAGCTCAATCATATTCATCAGACCTTCGAAGTTCTTGTGAGTGATGGACCGAACAAGTACCACATCAAGAAATCCGGTACACTTTGGAAACGTTGAATTGGCCAAAGGCTGGGAGTAAAAGGAGCCATGGCTCACGACCGCGACAGCCCAATGCTGATTCTAGACACATTGATATCTGCGACGAACTGTGTGGTAGGCTTAGTTAGGTTACGTTATAAGCTACGCAAACACTTACCTTACTGCAATTACGCCGACAAGTGCCCAAGCTATAATTTCACATATCGGTTTATTGAATCGCCAACTGATATGTCAGTTGATGATCCAAGCCAAAGCATCCGACACCGACTGCGGTTCTCGTGACTTGGGTCCTGGCAGCTTCCTTTGATCGCATCAGGCTTACTTCGAAACATCCTAGAGAAGCTACCTTAAAGGCCTACCCAGACAGGTCCCGACTCTCTAGGACCACCGTCGGATGTCCACCGCTTGGTCACATTGCAGCAGCACCGTCCGGGTCTGGCCATAGCAATCCAACTCAGCTAGCCTTGACCTGCCGCGAATACTGTCCCCATTTACTCACTTCAACTTTCCTGCCTGTGGACCCAGGCTAATCATGAATAACATGCTGCTCCCCAGGCTGCACACTCTCCCCTTCTGTGTCATCCTGCCGCTGCCCTGCCCTACACTATGTTTATGTGATCTTGGCAGGTTGTCGTAAGCCAACTTGTACCTTAGTTCTCAGCCTAATTTCCGCTAGAAGGTTCTGACACCGAGAGCGTCTGGGGAATGGACACTCTAGCCCAGGGTAAGTCTGTCGTAAAGAGGGGTATCCCTGGGTCCTTGTCAGCTGCTTGGCTGAATTTGGTCGAACGTTCATTATAATAGGCGTAGCCCCTGGAATCGAACATGTCATAGCAAAGGCCCTGATGGGCCTATCATAGTGACTGAGTGACAGCAGACGCAGGAAGCATGGAAGAACCAGGCGGAATTACGACAAGTGTGGGGTACATGGGAAGGCGGCCGGATCCACGACCAGCAGGAGAGGTCACGAACAGGGCAGCCGAGCAATGCATCACTCAGTGGTGACTATACAGGTAGAGCAGAGCACTGGAGAATGTGATGCATCATACGTACTACAGGTACGTCGTTCGCCTGCGGATGATGCCGGCAATAGTTGTAGATTGGCAAACCGTGTTACAATTTTCTCTTCGACGTTGCGATGGTAAATACAATTTGCACGTCACGCCAACATAAAAGTTTCGAACGCGCAGTTTACAGTTTCCCATTAGTGAAGCCTTGGGTCTATGTGGAGGTTGAGGACAGCTTTCTGAAGAGTGAGTGCTTGAGAGCTATTGGAGGTGGTGGCGTGAAGCGAGTTGCCAATCATTGTTTGGAATTGGCGGTCCAGCTAGATCTTTCGAGAGGTGATGCGAGGGAAATGGACCTGAACATTGAGCTCCGGTACGAGGAGGCATTTCGATGAACTGTGTTTAACTTCGGTGTCAAGGAACGTCGCGTTGCTACGGAGTGCAGCTTTTCTACTGTCAACCGGTTGCACTGACCTGAGGGGCAAGTAAAGGCTGGTTGCTCGAACTCAGACAAGGATAGACAGGTCAGCCATCTAAAACAGTTTTCTTCCGGCAAGTCAGTGAATTAAGATTCTAGTCGTTCAACAGTCGTTGACCGCAGTTCGTGCGTGGCGATTGCCTTGATCGAGGAGTATAGGAACCGGCCACGACCCAGAACGAGAGCCTCCCCTTAGTTCTTTTCTAATCTACCCTGACTGGTATCTGGTTAATATTGCGCGAAAGACACTGTGGATTCCTGTGCCGTTACATCAAGTCACCTACTTCGACTAACGTCACATCGTGGGAAAGCTAATGAAGTTCACCAGCGGTTCTCTGGTCCTACCAGTATTACTAGACTATATCATACTTGGTCCATGCAATATCAATAAACGATCCCCACTATTTTTGGTTGATCGGTCGGCTGACGACGTTGTTATGCCACCTGCACGAATGTACATTGCAGACGGAATATCAAATCTCAAGAACATTATTCACCGCAAAAAGGTGTTCAGGCTCATGTTAGCAATGCTGCTATATAACCAATCATCCTCACCACACCAGTCATCTAATCTAGAGTCTGCACACCCGAGTTTGTTTATCCTGGTAATTCCTGAGACTGCAACATCAAGAAGCAGCTTAAGCGCCAGAAAGCAGGACCCACTGAAAGAGTTGAAGATTTGGATGCTACATTGGCAGGAAGCAGTGAACGAGATCAGCGCAGTATCGCCTTCGAGAGGCGAGGGGCAAGTCAGCTCGCAGAAAACCTCATCCAAGTTGTTGATGAAGAGAATGTCGTTTCCGCTGAGGAAATGATGCACTCGGTGCTCGCCACTGTCATTCACCCGCAGTCATCAGCGAATTACTCGCGCTGAGGAATGGCCAGGATCTTTCTATAAAACGGGGTTTAGATGGCGAGCTCGAGTTGTATGAGCCTCTAGACTTAGATACAGAAGGAATCAAAGATCTAGAGTTGAGCCCTCTATGAATAGATTTATTGTTGTTTACAATATACAGAGGAAATCAATTACTGTCAGTTAAAGTTTCGGTTCACTACGTTGTCCAAATATTGTGATTACCCCTGTTGATCAGACTTTGTGCATTAGTGCCTTACGTTCTAAGTACCGTAACAGCGCTCGGCCATGCCAGCCCCTGATCAATACTTCTTTTCTACAGAACCCAATTTGCAGTGGGTGTCGGGGATTGCAACCTTAACTCCCTATGTACCAATGCATAGTTCTCGGATAATGCCGTTAAAACTGCCCTGTTCACCAGCGACTTTCGACTCTTGAGCACCATTTTTCTCAACTTCCCCTTCCATTGCACAAACCTGTTTCAACACTCCCACCCACCTTCTCTCGTTATGCTCTTCGGCAACCTTTCCTTGCTCCCTGCTGGTCCCTACCTCGTCAATGTCGCCGCAGGCATGCTTCTGACCAATTTTTTTTGGTCTCCAGCAGCCAAGACCCTTGTTATTATGGCTATAACAGCGTCTGCCCTGATTCTGTGACTGCACCCGCATCGCATCACCACCTTTGTCGCCACTCACTGCAACATGACTCTCAGTAGCACGAGAATTCCGCATGTGGTGTCAGTCCCGCTCCGGGATGGTACTTGGAGAGAGTGACTGACCTCTCGCAACTCCAAGTGACCCACTGAGTCAATCACCTCGGACCAGGTCTCTTCATCTCACCTACAGGGTGGTTTTGTACAATGTATGATCTCATTGTGGATATGCCTGTGGGTGCCCTGGTACACGTTCTTTCGGGAACATCCATTGGTACATGCATCACCAGATGTTACAGTTTCTCTTTTTCCTTTCACCTCTTCACTTATTTATGATTACTAATCATTCTATAACATTCTATCGTATGGTTTCTCTTTCTCTTTTCTGATTTGCTAAATACTTTTCATCTCCGATTCATTTATTAAAGCTCCGCTTTAATCTCTTTATATATACTCTATCTCTTATGCTTGTACTCTTTAACTTGACCTACACAGACCAGGGCCTGCAATACACTGCTTAACTCGCATGACTTGTACATAGGTGTATGCTTTAGATCATTTGTTTCCGTCTAGTTGTTCTTATGAACACTGAGTGTAACAAAAGGTCAAGTTACTACTTTACCATGCAGTTCCCTAGAACTTGTGTCCAGAACAGAACAACATACCACTGATCGCACCGACCCCTCCTAGTTTTACCTGGGACGAGGAAGAACAAGAGTTCTTCTGTGCAGACGCCAAAGGCACCAGATACTCGATTACCCAGTGGGCAGCTTACTACGCTACTGTAGCCCCAAAGAACAAAGTTTGGAATTTCCATACCCAAACCTATGAACGATCCCAGACCACTACTATGCCTAAAGAAATCGGCAAGACCCCCTCACCCTTCAATGGCAATACCTGCCTTGCTCAGGGATGGACGCTTCAAGTCAAAGTGTACCTAGATATGAATGATGAAGTATATGACAATGACAAGAAGAAGGTCATTTTCGCCCTCAGCCTGATGACTAAAGGTGAGGCTGCTAAATGGGCCAAAGGCCAACTTAAGGCTGCTGTCGCAGCAAAGTCTTATGGAACCTGGGGAGATTTCACTAAGCAATTCAAGTCAACCTTCTTTCCTAAGAACGTTGAACAGACTGCAATTTGTTGCATATCCTCTCTCCGACAAACCGGCAGTGTAGCCGCTTACACATCCCTTTTCCGAACCATCCTCGCTGACACCGGCATCTCCAAAGAAAACACCAAGATTATGTTCTTCAGGAACAGCCTAAAGTGTGAGATAGTCTCCGCTATTTATGCCTTTGAAACCACCCCCACCACCATCAAGACTGTGGCTAGAGAAAGCCTTAGATGTCAAGGTCTGAAGGACCTTAATAGCACCTCCCTCCTATACCAAGGCGAAAGACCCCTATGCTATGGATACTTTTTGAACCCATGGTCATGTTCTTCGGAATGTGTAATTCGCCTGCCACCTTCCAGTCTATGATGAACGACTTGTTCAGAGACATGATCCAGGAAGGGTGGATAATTATATTTATGGACAATATACTCATCTTTTCTAGAGACAATGAAACCCACTGTATCTGAACTCATAAAGTACTCCAATGACTCCGCAACAACCTCCTCCATCTTAAACCTGAAAAATGCACCTTCAATGCGACCAACATCAAATATCTCGGTATGATCATTAAACCCAGTTCTATCGCTATGGACCCTGCCAAATTAAAGGGTATATCCGAATGGAAAACTCCCACGAAAGTGAAGGAAGTTCAATCATTCCTTGGATTTGCTAACTTTTACTGACAGTTTATTGCTGATTATTCATCGATTGCTAGACCCCTAATCGACCTAACCAAGAAAGATGAAGAATTCTCTTGGACCCCTGAACGTGAGGAAGCTTTTAATAAGCTGAAGCGTATCTTCACTTCCTCCCCTATCCTCCAAATACCCGATAAGAACTCCCCTTTTGCAATTGCCACTGATGCCTCTCTTTACACTACCAGCGCAGTACTCCTTCAGAAAAACGACAATGGAGACTGGCTCCCATGCTCATTTTTATCTCAATCCTTTAACCCCACTGAATGAAATTATCAGATCTATAATCGAGAACTACTCGCGATTGTCCGCGCTTTGAAAGCGTGGAGACACTATCTCCTCAGATCTCCATATCCTGTTACCATTCAGACTGACCATAAAAACCTTACTTATTTCAGAGACATCCAAGATCTTAACCAATGCCAAGCAAGATGGCAAACCTTCCTTTCCCAATTTGAACTCCAAATCCAACACGTACCAGGAAAAGAACTTATTATTCCTGATTTACTTTCACGTAGAACGGATCACCTTCCAGACGATAATGTCGAAAAGGACAATATTAGTATTCAACTCCTCCCTGACTCGATGTTTATTAACATCATTGACACTTCATTTACGGACAGATTACGAATTTCCTCTTCTATTGACCCCGTAGTACATACTGCGCTTCAAGCACTTACAGACTCTTCTATTCCCCCTCCCCTCCGTTCGGCTCTTTCCAACTGGAAATTGAGCGACGGAATTCTCTCATTCAAAGGACTTACCTACGTACCCCCCAGAGATCTCCGATGAGAACTCACTTCCCTACACCATGATTCTCCCACTGCTGGACACCCTGGATGCTTCAAAACCCAGGAACTTCTCTCTCACAACTTTTGGTGGCCTGGACTCGCCACATTTGTCAAAAACTTCATAGACGGCTGTTGCATCTGCCAACAGAATAAAGTAAACACGCACCCATCTACACCACCACTCTCCCCTATTCCGGCCCCTATTTCAAACCAACCATTTGCCCATTGTTCTGTAGATCTTATCACAGATCTTCCCCTTTCTGACGGCTTTGATTCTATCATGGTCGTGGTCGACCATGGACTTTCGAAGGGGGTAGTTTTCACCCCTTGCCTTAAAACTATAGATGCTGAAGGTGTTGCAAACATTTTCTTTTCTAAAGTTTTCACTAGATACAGACTTTATGATAAAATTATCTCTGACCACAGACCTCAGTTCACTTCCCAATTCCAGATTGAACTCGGAAAACTCCTCGGATACAAGAACTCCCTATCCACCGCATTCCACCCCCAGAGTGATGGAGAGACTGAACAAGTAAACCAAGAACTCGAAGTCTACCTCTGGATCTTCTGTGCTAACAACCAAACCGGTTGGGTGCCCATGTTGCCACTCACTGAATTCATTCATAATTCACACCACCATTCTGCATGCAGCACATCCCCTTTCTACCTCATGATGGGTTATCACCCACATCACCTTCCTGATCTTCATCCGAAATCTGACATTCCTAATATCGAACAACGACTCTCTTTGCTTAATAAAGCATGTGACGAAGCGCTAGCCGCTCATGAACTTGCATGTAACACTATGCGTCAATGAATCACCTCTAAATTTGTACCATTCTCTAAAGGCGATAAAGTCTGGCTCGAAGCCAAAAACCTCCATCTCGGATATCCTAATCAGAAACTCACTCCTAAACGCGAAGGACCATTTGTCATCACTGATGTATTATCTCCGATAACTTATCGACTCGCACTACCTGCGCAATGGCACATCCATCCTGTATTTCATGCCGCTCTCCTTTCTCCTTACAAAGAGAACGATACCCACAGCCCTAATTATATTCTGCCTCCCCCAGACTTGGTTGATGGCAAAGAAGAACATGAAGTTGAAGCAGTTGTCGGACACCGCAGATCTTCATCTAGATGCCAATATTATGTAAAATGGAAGGGATTCCCGAGTTCTGAGAACGAATGGATGAAAGAAGCAGAACTAGGTAATGCTTCCAAACTTCTTACTAATTATAAATGATCACATTGTCTTCTTTGATAGTAGTCAGTGTCTACTACCCTTAAAACGGGGGTAATGTTACAGTTTCTCTTTTTCCTTTCACCTCTTCACTTATTTATGATTGCTAATCATTCTATAACATTCTATCGTACAATTTCTCTTTCTCTTTTCTGATTCGCTAAATACTTTTCATCTCCGATTCATTTATTAAAGCTCCGCTTTAATCCCTTTATATATACTCTATCTCTTATGCTTGTACTCTTTAACTTGACCTATGCAGACCAGGGCCTGCAATACACTGCTTAACTCACATGACTTGTACATAGGTGTATGCTTTAGATCATTTGTTTCTGTCTAGTTGTTCTTATGAATGCTGAGTGTAACACCAGATGCTTTGATTCGCAATATTGTAGGAATCACGTCGAATGCAGATGATGTGACTAGAAACATGTTAATGGTCAAATATGTGTGAGGGAATAAACACAAGGTTATGGACTGTGGAGAAGAGGACATGCTGCAGGTCAATGGGATTGTCAAACAGTAAGTTGCCATGATGTATCTACTGATAAAGAGCAGATCCGTGTATCAATCTGGGTTCTCAGTAGACTAGCAGTGTAGTCTGAATATAAAGTGAGGAATCTTGTTGCAGAAAGAAAAATACAAGTGAGCCAGAGTCGGGGACTTGCCGCATGAGCGGCATTACCGATTTAACATCCAGGCAGAATTTCTGAAACTGAACGTGTTCATAACTTTCAGTTCATTTGCCTCCATCGCTGACCGTACACTAACTCTAGTTTGCATTCATTGACCGGCAGATAATGCCTACTGACTGGCCTCCCGCTACGTCCGGGTGCATCGCGTGACACAGCTGCCTGTCACGGAATTTCCCCCTATGTCTTCATTTGATTTGGTATTACAGAGTGCTTCCCCAGCGTCTAACACCAGCTCGAGCGCTGTTTTATGATGCGGACACGCTACACTATATTTCCAGATGAGTTGTTCTATATTCGTCTTCCGTCTAATTGTGAATTTACAGTAGTTACGAGGCAGAATCGCTTCCTCGAGCCAAACCCTGTTGTTGACTTGAATGCCGGCCTTCAGCAAGGTTTCGACACGGGTTATGCTGCCCGACTACAACGACGTCCCAACAGCACCGTATTTTGGCCCTGCCTGTCACCACCACTCATTCAGTACTCTCTGCTGTAACTGATTGGACGACCCAGCTTCATCGCGGCTTCTTGAAGAGTTACTCACGTCTCGAACGGAGACAACTCAACAACCTATGTAGCAATGCCACCACTCGGCGACAAGGTCCACGTGCGATGGAGCAGCACACACATGGGAGTCACACGAATTGCTTCCGCGACCATTATGAGGATTGGCTATGCAATCTCTAGATGTATCGCGAGCGTGTACGCCGACAGGGTATTGATCACTTGTTCGTACAATGTTACTACAGAAGCAAAACACGAGGTATCAAACCAAACGCCTATGTGAATAAATATGATCTGCTGTTCCAATGTAATTTTTTTTTTGAGCGTATTTTTTTCACAGCCTTGTGCAACGCTACAGCAGCACGTGTGGTCCAATCTCCCTGAGCCATCAAATATGTTGTTGTAAAAGGCAGAAACAATCTGGCGTGCCACATCATCATCGACAGACCACATAGAGCCTATTATACTGCGAAATCCGGAGAATTGCATCGCGGCAGCAAGACGGATCGCCTCATCAGGGCGCCACTCGTCGCCCACCGTGGTGTGGCAAGCTAATCAAATGCAAAGCCCAGATTCTGTCAGCGAGACTGGATGGTGTCCCTTATCGTCAATCCCCCGTCGCGCGTTGGAATGGAAGAGTTAAATGGTTGCTTGCGATTCGGGCAACCATGGCAGGCGAAGTGAACCCATTAGTTTTGGCAGAGTGTATCAAAGGCTCCTTGAACAGTCGCATCGCTGTCCTCGAGCGATGTAAAGGATAGGACGGGCGCTAAATGCTGAGTGACGACGGCTAACTCATCAGCAACACACCACAGGGTATGCCCTCTTCCCGAATTTGCTTGGCTAATGACAACGAAATGATTATCCGACGCATCTTTGGAAACCTGCTGTCTCGCGCGAATGAGTGTGGCCAAAGCTGGCGTGTAGGAGAAGATGTAGAAGTGAGAAAAGTTATGAGTGCCTGGCCCATAGGGTCCTGCCGCACGTATAGGAAGCAACGTGAACTCAGCGGCAGGACACCACCAGACACGTGAGCCACGTGGAATGAACTTCTCGAGCACGACAACCACAGGACCAACAACAACATTCCAAAGTTTACGTAGGATACCAACGATCTTGAGTGATTCTGCTTGAAAATTGGATGAGCCGGCATGAGCTGTGAGTGACTGGGACTCGGAGGATAACTCGGAGAACTCAGCTCGTGTGATATCAAGTGGAATGTGGGCAGGATCTTTGTCAATCAAGATGATCAAGACGTCGCAGTTGTGCTGGCTTGCGTTGACGATGATAACTGTATCATGTTCTGCCGCTTTTTGAAGGTCAGAGAACAGCGGTGAGAGAAAACGGGAAAAGTGTGCAAGCATGCGGATGCAGGAGATGACATCACTCCATTGCATGATCGATCATTGGATTTGTAGGTACGAGTCATTGGTGGATGCATTTAACGTGGTACGAAGGCGCAAGCTAAGATGTTTGAACTCGTCCGCCAAAGTATTGCCGATATCACCTGATGCAGAAGGTTCATACAGTGGTGTGCGAAAGCGTACCAACTGAGTCCAAAATATCGTACGGCCTTGCTCCAACTCCACGGCAGTCGTTAAAGCACGGTGACGAACGCTATACAAAAAAGCATCCATTGCGAGAAATGAAGCGTACCTGATCGCATCGACTTGATGTGAAGAAAACATCATGACAGCGAGGTATCGATCCAGGAAGTTCAAAGTGGTCTGATAGGCGATCAATGCAGAGCCGTACTCGAATCGCTCCGCAGAGGCGACCCATCTCATGGCAGATCGTATTGAGATACTACGTGAGGTACTCCCCTGATAATTGCGGAATATTCAACAGAGCTCAGTACGTAGACGATCCAAGTCTAATACCGATTGACGACTAGCTTGACTAGCAGGAAACTTTGGTCGGTGATTGACATGAGCAAGATGGGAAATGAATAGACACCTGCGGCCTATAGAACGAATTTGGATCTCGTTGTCCAGCTTCGGCGGGCTCGAGAGTCGGTGACACGAGGCTGGGCCGAGCGTTAGTTCGGGATGGGACGCAAGCAGGTGGAGCCGCTGGGAAGGCGGGATACCTGCTTACGAATTCGATCACGGCAGAAAGTAATTGATGCAGTTAACTATAAGACGCGTGGCTAATAAGCACTAGGTATAAACTATGGTGCGACAGAAAATCAAAAGGGAGTGGGCGAGTATAAGAAAATTGTTCGAGCCAGTGAGGAGTGTAACGAACGACGAACTCGACGTCGTGGTAGAGAGGAAGAAACGAATGGAGGACGCGAACAACGCAACCGCTCAGCTGGACGCATGGTACCGGGATATTCCGGCAGGCTGCATTGCCCGGCACCTACATTACCTTGCTATTACGAACACATTAGAATTTCTAGAATTCCGGCACCTGGGCCTGAAGCTGGCACGCGTTCACAGTGAGGGAGTACTACTTCGCGCACCTTTGATCACGGTGACTTGCAGACATCCCTCACACAAACTACCATCCGCTTTTGAAAGATCATGAGTACTAACACGAACAAATCCTCTGCTGCCAGATCTTCAAAGGCCATCCATATACACGTGATCCATCCAGATGCTGACAAGCTTTTCCGGTCTGTAGCAGCTTCCAGTGAATGCCTCAAAGCAGGCAAGAAACAACTTCTCTTACAATGTACGCATTGCCAAACGACATTGGAGAAACCTTGGAAATGTTCAAAGGTATGTGGTACTCAAATGTGCGAATACTGCTGCGGGTGTTCATCGAGGTCACAAATCGTTTTTTAGTGTAAGAGTGTCTGGTATTGCTCAAAAAAGGTTGAGTTTGCGGCTAATTGAAACTGAAGTCTGAAGCGCTGACGTTATGTCTACTAGTGTCAAAAGGAAAACTGGTAAGAGTGGCTATGATTGGTACAAGTCAAACCTCACTCCAGGCTTGGACTCGACTCGCGCTCGTTATTATAGGCCCACTCACAAACCCACATGCTACGAAACCGATCGCCCATCTGGGTCATTTAAATTCATACGAATGCTCACTTCAAATCCATTGATCATGGAACTCCTCAAAGTTAGTATTATCTTCAACTGTGGCCTACTCGACAATCCCAGGATCGGAATTGACGTGCCGTTCGTGGCACGTGTTGACATTGGCATTGAACCGAGTGACATTCTTGATTTCATTGGATTGTATCTCGATGACAGGACCGTCGGGGAGAAGCTTCAAGGGATGGTGCAAATCAACGCCGTCACTCCGTGGTACCCGAGTCTGATACACCCCCTCACGCCGCAGCGACTACACCTATGGCGCGATATTCGTGCGAAACATAATGCAGTGGGTTTCACAGACGATCCCGTTGGATTCGTAGACTTCGTCGATGGTAGCTGTGGGGAGGATTGGAAGAACGGGATGACCGTTGGTTTACACATCCCCACTATTGTCTTTGACACGGCAAGGAAACGTGAGCCCTTCGTACGTGGCTGTGCTATCACGGGCGCCCAGTTCAAGCAACCCATGAGCGCTGTAGCGTGTTTAGAGTAGGCTATCCGTTCTGATTCCCGGGATTTTGGCGGTGGAGCCTCTTACTATTACCTTGCATAGGTGTATCAACGTGCATATTCGGGACGATACACAGAACCAGTTGCATTTACGGACTGCGATGACAGAAGAAGACAAGGAAGTTATTCGTGCTGCGGGTCGCAATGAGGGCACGTTACGCGCTCGTATTCTCAAGGAGAAGATTAGAAGAGAACACTTGTATGCTAATCTGCCGGACCCCACAGCTGTATAGGTCTAGGGATAAAAATATCCGTGAGCCCAGATCGCCGATGTTTCATCTATTATTGTTTGCCTCTTTCTTATTGTTTTACTCGTCTTCTTGCTTCCCATAATTCACAACGTATGATGATCCTTGCACTCAATGCCCGGTTTCTGGTTCCTCTTTTACGCATTCTCCTATGGTTGTGAATTATGCGCCTCTGTCGTCTCAGTTGTTCATGTTCCACAATTAAATCGCGATATGCATTATACATCGTCTTCGTCTCTTCCAACCATTCCTCAGTTGATGCTGCCGGTTGCACTTCCCGTTTTCGACGAGTTTGGTGATGTCAGGTCGTCGACCGTGATGTCTGGAATCCTACTCGTGTAAATTCTTTGAGTATCATGGAGTTTCTACAGCGTTTCTTAGGCTTCAGCAGTATCCTCGTGGAGTACTATTGCCTGTTTCTGTTCCTGCTCTGCGGTATATCTTCCGTACGTGACACATGATCAATGAAGTTGCACGAGCTCACAATATATATGGTAGTGTCTGGTATATTTCGCGACATGTTGCAAGCACACGAATGTATATACTGATTGCCTCGTAGAGTTGATTAGGCATTTGTGTGCCCGAGGCATGATTTCGTAGATGAGCTTGTGCTTGAACTATTTTCTCGCAATGTAGTACGCGTCCATAATGTCACATCAAGCACCCACTAAAAAGCACCTGTACCTCCTGGGCAAGCTTTCCAGGGTCCATATCGACACCATCCGTCGTGACCCCAGAGTCCGTGCTGACAGTTGTTTCCCCCTCCCCGCCTGCGCTTGCCTGAAGGAGAGGCTTAAGCGACTCCCAAAACTCCGTAAAGTCCATATCAGCGAACGCATTCGGTGAAAAAGGACCTTCGAGATCCAGCCCTGAAGACCCGTCCAGAGTCAGCAACTCACCCATGTCCACTCCACCATCGTCATCTGACGAAAACCAATCCGAGATTGAAGACGGCGGAAGCTCGCTTGCGTCCCCCAGTATTCCATCCGAGTCGCTAAAGAACGCGTCGCTGTCGATGAATTCTTCCATTGGATCATCTGTGGAAGGAAACAACAAAGGACTCGTAGGTGGGAGTGGGGAAGAGGGAGGAAGGGGAGATAGAGGTAATGTTATGTTATCTTCGCTAGTTTCGATGGCGTCTGCCGTGTCCTGCTGCCTGACCGCTGGGACATCTAGCCCTTGAAGTGCATCGTCGAGTTCCCTGCCGAGCAGATCTTCTTCCTCGCGGTCGACGGGCTTCTCGACTAACTTGTTGGCCCATTCAAGGGATGAGCGCGGTCTGAGTCCGAGTCGTAGGGGTGACATTTTCATAGATGGTGTGCGAAGGTGAATAGGAGAGAAGATAGGCTTCTTGCTCGTACGTGAAGGTGTGCGGGGATGGGAGGGAAAGTGAGGCGTCTTTCCAGTGCTACCCCAAAACAATTTGGGAGTTGGGCTGAACAGTGGTGAAGCACCGTCAGGTCCAAGGCTTCGCGGTGTAGCACGCAAAACTGATGTCTTCCGCGGAGGAGTACTGGGTACCGGAGGTGTCTTTGACGCGGGGGAGGAAGGCGAGAGGGGGGGCGATATAGATACGTTGGATGCAAAAACAGGCAAGGAGAGCGAAAGAGCACTCTGCAGACGCGGTATGGTTGCCTCTTTAGCAGGTACTTGTACTGTCGTACTAGAGATGTATCCATCCTCCGAAGACAAGTCGGTCGGTGCTCTGGCGCCTTGTTGCCAACACCCTGGTTTCTGCGATCGCCGTCCAGCGCGTTTCTCCTTCTTCTCCTGCTCCATGAGTGCGATACGTTCTTCAGCCTCCTTCGAGAGCTTTGGCCGGGTAGCGGTACTCGTACGTGCCCACTCTGGCACGATAAAATTCTTGACGGGCTTTACAGCTGCCTGTGCCGAATGCGGTATGACAAAGGAGGACTGAGATTCCGATACAGAGCGGCACATCGGCCTGGAAGGAGATGACTTTGGACGAAAAAGTGAAGAGCTGGTAGCCATTTCAGAGGACACGCTCGAGTCAAAATCTGAGCGAACGGTGCGGTGATGTCCTGGAGGAATTATTGGTTGAGGTACTCCAGAGGAACCCGATGTTCGCCCGGATTCCGGCCGAGCATGTGTGCGCTTCCTTCGCGCTTTATTGTTTTCTTGTTCCGCCATGAAGTCACTAAGCCTGCGCTTGCGGGTCACTGGGGATGAACGTGTGTTCTCTTTTCCGCCTGATGGAATGTGGGCACGACGCTGGCGCAGGGGGGTTGTTTCCGACTCATCTGCAGTGGTTGTGGCCAGATTGCTCGAGTCTTCCCTTTCCACCCGTCGTCGGAACGCAGTCGGATCCACGTGCTCCTTTTCCAATATAACAATATCATCGTCTTGATTGTTCCGCGAGACGGGCTGCAGCGCGTGCGACGGCTGCTGCTGGTTCTGGCTTTGTGCTACCAGCAAATCCCTTAGTGCGTTTAGGAGCGCTGGGCTTGGCTCAGATCCCAACGGTGTCGAATCTACCGTTGAAAGAGCTGCCAGAAGCGCTGTATTATCTCTGCCAGAAGACAGGGCAGACAGTAATGTAAGTAAAGAAGTAGGCGTATGAGCAGGGGCTGCTTCTGGCTCTTGCTGCTGTGGTCGTACAAGCGGCGCGCATATAAATGGTGGTGCTGCTGGCCATACATGAGGTTTTTGTGTCTTCGATTGCTTAGACTTCTTCTTCGTCCCCTCAGGGCGGCCCCGACCGCGTTTGGGAGGTCCGATGTAAACCTCGGGAAAATCGACGGATCTGGTGAGAGGTTTCCCTTGTTCTTGTGACGAGGGTGGGGTTTCAGAGTTAGTGGGTTCGGCAGGTGTAATCAATTTATTTGGACGCGACGTTTGGGGTGGCTGGCTCCAAGATTTTAGAGCGTCAGAGAGGTGGGACTTCTGAATGTGTTTAGTCTGATAACACTATCGGTTAAAATTGGATACAACGAAAGCTATGGATAATCACCTCTCGGAGAGCAAAGACCACCTCGAGGGCATCAAGACCCGTTCCAAGCGTTGTAATTGTACCAGTGACTGTCACGCCATCTGATTCGTCTGCTGTGAGCGCCCATGACATCAGCCCCAGCGCAACGGCCACTCCTCGTGGCTGGGCTGCCCGCGACACTGAAGCAGATGCCGCACTCGATTGGGAAAAGTCCACAGGGGCTGGCATACTTTGCGATTCCAATGGATCCAGCACGTAGATAGAAAAGTCTCTGGAATCATCCATGAGAAGCTCTGGGCTGCCAAGCGGTGGGTCCATGGAATGAAAGTCGTACGAGAATACATACCTTGAGTTGCAGATAGCATTTAAGCATGCTTTAAGCGGTGTCAAACCGTACTGCGCATTCGCGGCAGATGGAGACGGGCAAAGAGTAACCTGCACAGCAGATGGGGACCGGGCAAGAATATACTGAGGAGAGCTGTTGACTGTGTAAAGCACTCGTACTGATACAGGTCAATCATGGGGAGCACCAGACTAGGCGCAATGAATACATACGGGGTAGTTGGCGCATTGACATCGTCCACGTTGGCAGCAAAGACTTACAGAAAGTTGTAGACAACGTCAAGAGTCAAAAGCTTGTAGAAGAGACAGATTTGGCAGTCAACAGTCAGGCGCGCTTCGCGTCGCGTAACACCGTGACTGTGACATCACCCGTGACCCGACGCGTCTGCAGAAATCATTAGTGTCCGGCACTCCACAGAAACTTTTGAGCCGGTGGACACCTACACAATGTTCTTCTGGAGGTATTTCAACCGGGTACCTCGACTCAGAATCAACAGCAAAATTAAATTTGACAGGACAGGTCCATCGGAACATCCTTTATTTCCTTTAATTTCACATAATGGTTATATACTTGGTCACGGAGCACTTCCATATCTATTGATTTCAAGTTAATTCTATATACATAGAAATTATCCTGTTGGATGAGCACCGTGCCTTCTTTCTTCAGCGCGATCACTTGATTTTGATGTGTGGCGTGCAGGTACAGTACGGATCCATGATGTCTATCAACACCCCCTGAGCACAAGCTCAGGGACTTAATCTGCTAACCGCCCCAGCCTTGGCAAGTACCTAGCTTGGCCACGATTGACTGCGCCTCAAATGCGTACGGTCGAACGGAATGTCTTTCATATTGCCCCATAGGTCACTACAGGTGTGCCTCTCTTCGATGCGAGCAGAAAGGGCGCAAATGATTACCTTGAAACGTTCTTCACCCAGCACAAGACCATGTGACAAAAAGCCGTGAATTTGCTGCATTAATACAACAGTATCATATAATCGGGTATGGACGAATATACTGTAAGGACGCGTAAGCGAGACACGACCAGGGACAGGTAAATACACACCTAAGCACACGAAAGAAGAGATAATTTGGGTTGATGATACAATGGAGCGCGAAATGGAGGAAGGGGCAGTATATGCATGCCAGTACTAATAGAGTGAGAACGCGCTCGAATGGATGAGAAATTTGTGAATCAAAATGGACAAAAAAAGTAAGAAATTTTGCACAGAAATTTACCAGGGAAAACAGAACGCCCATAAGGACTCGACGACTGTTTGGTTGGCACACAGAAAATAACGCTAGCCTAAACACGAAGCCCGATACCACCAGCCCCACTTCCTACTACACCCACCCCGCGAAGGACATCGGCAATAATATGCCGGGGGCGAGCTAATGAAAATGAGGCGTGACGTCTTTTATGCAGGGAAGTCGAGAGGTTTGGCGAGGTGGATGGTGAGGAGTGAACAAGCGAACGTGTGGAATTATGTGATCCAGAACCCATTGGCGTGTGGAAAGAAGTGGACACGGGAGTACAGGCAGAGGAGGGAACAGTGAGTGGTGGTTGCTTTCTATCTACACCCGCACCGAGCTCCTCTGTCCAAGTAGACGAGGGTATTGAAATGGAGGGAACACATGTGGTCTGCGGCGACGGGGAGCGACTGAAAGGGCGTGCGGAGATCGAAGTAGCCGTGGCAAGGACATGAGGCGATGGTGCACGTGGTAAATTTTCATCGGACTCGGCTGTCTTTGCAAGCGAAAGAGATGAAGACGACCTTGAAACAGGTGGTGCAAGGAAGTGATCTTTGTTCATCTTTGTGCCTAAGCTGACCGACGATGAATTCGACGGCACTGGACTCCCACTCGGCCTGCCAAGCCCAATGCATGATGCAGAAGCAGATGGGCTCGGTGCTGGAGATGTCCCAGGCGACCGACGAGGCGACGGGAGAGGGAAGAGTTGGTCTTCATCATCCTCGGCATCATCTTCCTCTGGTATCCGAGGAGTAGATGGCACAGTGAAATTCGGTATGCGCAGCGGCGATAACGAGCACTCCGTATTAACCATGGCATTCTCTCCCTCCTCGTTTAACCACGTTGGCGCCGTCGCCACCAATTCGCTTGACCGCCGACGCTTATCAATCTCATCCACGCTGATCGAAGCACTGCGACCGAGCCCAAAGGATGCAGCAGCGACGCTCCCTTCGACTGTGATAGTCCGCGGTCCCTCATCTGCGCTAAGCGAGCGCCGTCTGCGTGCAGACCGAGAGAAGTGTTCCGTCCAAGTATCTCCCTGCGACAAAGATGCCTCCATCACGGCTTCACACCCCGCGCAGCATGGTCGCAGCGGAATGGTGATGAGATCTGAGCGAGAAGGCGACAATGACGCTGTGCGTGTTGGGCGTCGTGGACTCTGGGGAGACCCGGGGGCAGAAATACCAGATGGGGAACGTTGAACCAGACAAGGGGAGAGCGGCTTAGGGCCTGGATTACGAGTACGGGTAGGAGATTGCGCTTTACTGGAGAAACTGTCCCACATCTCGGTGTTCAGTCGTGAATTAGTTCACTAGCAACCAGTAGACTTACCTAGGAATCGGAACTCGCAGAACGACATGACTATCTTCTGGCACGAAGGCATCTGTTTCCGGAGACGACGACGGCCCGCCTGAGTTCGACGAACGCCTCTTCCATAACGGCAAAGAATAAGACTTGGTTACCATCCTTGGTAGACGGTGACGGTGAGGATGCTTAGGGATGAGGACGCATTGGTCGTTGAAGCGCACGCTCAGCTGGCAATGTTCGTCATTGGCTTGTGAGCAAATATCCAAGGGAGAACGCCTGCTCGTCGACATGGTCATGGTGGTCAAAAAGAAATGGTACGAAAAGATGCGACGATTATGTATTTAGACCGTAGACCCGTGAATGGTCTCCATCACGGCTCATAAAAGGGTCAGACGACTTTTGTGCCTCGCCGGTTATTTATTTGCCTAAAACGGATTGTTGGATTTCTCTACTTGGACTGTTGCCACCGCTGGCAGCGGGTAAGTACAAGTTACAACGTTAACCTTGGTCCTGAACACCACGGGTTTGCCAGGGCTTGCCTCAGGTTCATTATTTTGTCCATCACGGCGGCGTTGCCAAGCGCTCGAACAGGCTTGAACGCAGGCAATTTACTTCTATTTACTGCGAACCTGAATCCAGCAATCCGCATCATGATTGCAAACACTAGTACTCAGGGACCCTGCCTAGGTCTTGAGTGCGCCAGCTGTCACAAGATCATGCGAGGACCTGCGAGGACACGCCGCGTGTATAAGTAGGCCCAATGAAGCCCGAAGCAGAGAATCGTGCGAGACAGACCCACATGCAGAGTTTTATCTTAAATCAGTGCCTCACTTGTTATTAGCCTATCGGTATCTTGTTCTCAGAACAGTTCAGCGCCCAGCTAGTATATCCCTTATCGAACATCGATCAATAGAACTAGTTACAGACTAACCTATAGTCCCTACGTTCTATCCCACTCCCTCAAAGTAGCCCGTCCTTCCTGCCCAATCACATCCAATGCTTTATCAATATCCCTTTCCACAGTCTTCTCAGCGCCAATTGCCATCCTCACACAAAACACGCCATTCAAGTCCGTCTGGGTAATTGCAATATCGCTCCGCGCTGCAAGCCGTGCATAAAATGCCCGGTTCAGAGCGTTTAACTCGAGAGTCGTGAGGTGAGGGCGAGACTTTGGCGCAAGCCTGAAGACTGTCAGTGCCAGGAACGGTTTCGCGACGAAGCAGAATTGATCAGATTCCCGTATGTGCTCTGCGAATCGAGCGTTAAGTTTGGTGCACTGGTGAGGTAAGACCAAATGTCAGTCGCTGGAATCCACCATCAATACTTGACATACGTCGGTTATATACTTTTGGAACCCACTGACCCCACGGGAACGGAGAACAAACCAAAACTTAAGCGATCGGAACCGTCTGCCGAGGCCAAGATGCCAGTTGCGGTAATCGATGACAGTGCCTAGCCAAAGCCGACATTCATTTCGTCAATAACATAAACAAACATCAGGAGTAGATACACACCAGCATCCCCCTGTTTCGATCGCAAAAACTCGGGCGTGACGTCTAGTGCATCAGTCAAGTGTTTTCGGTGTCGCACCCACAAACAGGAGGCATCGAAATTGATTAGACCCCACTGCAGTATATCAATACTTCAAGCTTTAGGTTGATATTATGCGATAGGAGCAAACCTTATGGAAATTGGTACAGAATGAGTCTGCATAAGTATTGATGGCAGGAAGTTGGCATGCCTCGCGGTATTCGGGACACACAAGTGCGACGCCTGCCCATGCGGCATCGACGTGTAGCCACAGGGAAGGGTAATGTGTTGCTGCGTGTGGGGATGAGCTCTCATCGAAAATTGCAAGTATGTGATCAGTGTACGCACCAACATCAGCAATCTCACCGAGCCGATCAACAGCACCGGATGACGTTGTCCCGATCGTAGCGACTTACAAAAACGAACAACGTGAATTCCAACGACATGCAATCCATTGGTAAAACATACCGAGGATGAAAGGGTGGAGCCCAGCATCCACATCCTCTTTCAGTGCCACTTCTAGCGTCTCTCCACGCAGTGCAAAGTCATCCTCTGCTGTCACTTCCAGTGCACGCACTTTCAAACCTAGGACAAGTCCGGCTTTCTTCCCTAGTGAGTGCGTTTGGGTGGTAGTGTAGAGCACGAGTGTCTCCAGAGCCACGTGAGGATGCTCACGGATATATCGCGAACGGGCAGCGACAGTTGCAATCAACGCAGAGTCAGACGCTGATGTCTTGTGTACGGCACAGGGATCAGCAAGATTTGGTGACGGGAGGAGGGAATGAGAAACACACCTGAATGACGCCGCCGCCGATCTCAGTGGTGTTGTAGAACGACTTGTGAAGTCCAAGGATTTGGGCGGTCCAGTCCATGACCACAGCCTCTAGTTCTGTGCATGCGGGACTCGCAGACCACTACAACAGTCACAAAGATTGCGGCAGACGTACGGTGGAGAAACGCACATTGAACCCCGGGGTAGACGCGCTAGATGCGTATAGTTCTCCAAGTATGCCTTCGAATGTACATGCCGTAGGAAAATAGGCAAAAAACGAAGGATGCTGCCAGTGTGTCAGGCCTATCAATCCAAATGAGATCGGTGAACTCGTGCAAAATCAGAGTCAATTACCAGGAATGATGTACTTTTGATAGTCATCTGCAATGAGTTGAAAGTCCTCTCCCTCCATAGGGGCAGATGCTGGAATGGGAATGGTCAGACGGAGAGCACGAGCTAGAATGGAAAGTAGACACCTGGGAGTGCCTTTCTGAGATACCCTGGCTCAACTTGGGACGAGACAGGCTTATCCCTCAACGAGGTATAGTAGTCGCATATTCTGTCTATGGCTTGATAACCAGCCCTGCGGAATCTGTGGTATGTCAGATAGTATGCGCAAATACCATGGGGTTAGAAAAATCGATGCAAAAGACATACTGCTCGATATCCATGGTGTGACGGCGTCAAGATAGTGCTGAGGTAGGGTTAGGTGTGAGTCGTTCACGTTATCTTACGAGTCGCACGATTGTCATACTAGACGGAAAACTTGAGAAGATTCGCAATCGCAGCTTCTGAGTGTCCAAGTTGAACTCGTGGCACGAATTGATAACCGTGAACTGAACATTTGAATGCATGTGGGATCTCCAACCGTCCAGCTCAGACCATTGACGGCCACTGCCAGTTTCATGGAGAGGGAGGTGAGACTTTCGTGAGAGTTCGAGTTTCGCACCCTGGCAGAAGAAACGGGCGAAGGTTGCACAGGCAAGATATTTGTAGATGAACAACAAGGATTCCCAAAAATGCTGCTGTCATAATTGCCCGCGTCTTGACCTCCCTCTAGACTCAGTGTAGGCAGACCAAAAAGAAAAAGTCAATTGCGATTTGCAACTGGCATTCAACGTGCACGACTCCTGCGAATACATTCTTTGTAAGAGCTGCCTTTAAAATTTCAGGTCGACAATTACCCAACTTGAGATTGCCGTCGGCCCGTCGCCCACCTCAGACTCGGTGGAGTGAGTCGATCGCCGCGCAATCGGACCATGGTACGAATCCTCAAGTTTATTCACAAGCAAGAACACCTCAATTTTACTGGACTTACGTGTTGATGAGTAGCCCGGACTACGCAAAACAGTATCTCCAGCTGATGCGGTGGCAGGGGAGCTTCACGAGCCCGACCGGGAATCGATTGCGACTAGGATGATTGTTTGATCTATGAGCCAGCATAGCCTGAGGCCAACATTGGTTGCCAATTGGTAAGTACTACTACTCACTCGGATCCAACGAACTCGTAATTCCACATCGTTGGCTGGATTGCGGGTCCGCATTGCGAGCCAAATGAAGTTCATTTCTGCCCACACCAATTCCATTCCATTCATCTCGCGGTAACACTTGCAAGTACTATGCGGCACTCATTGTACCGGTGGTACTACTGAACATATTCGAGCACGTGAATCACACGGAATATAGAAATTCGTGGTCTCGAAAATCCTTTGTAGCGCTTGCTAGTACATGCAAAGCCTTCCACGAGCCTGTAATGAAATTACTTTGGTTGACATAGATGGAATAGAACCGCTGTGAGGCTGTGTTATGAGACTGCATCCAATGATATATAGCGGCGATGAAAAGGTGAGTGTGGACTATTCGCGTAACGTCCTATATATTCAGTTCTTTCATAATATAGCATATCCCTACACGCAAATCCTCAACGTAGCTCCTCTGTCTTGAAGGGCAGCACTTCTGTTCTCAAGCTAACGATCCCTTATCTGGGCACAAGACCCGTGCGCCATGCCGCCTGTGTGCGTTCAATATCCATCAACCGCGATAGCCATTTTCACGTTACCTCAGTTCCCCCCATCAAGACATGCATCTTCCTGAGACTGCTGTCGTTATCAATGACTCAAACTCTGCATCTGACCGATACTTGCATCCCTTCCTGTCCCCCATGCTACATCGTCGTGTCTTATCAGAGATTTAGCTGGATCGGAAGAGTCTTGTGACTCGTTGTGCCGCATTGAAGGATTTATTCTTCATATATTGTAGTTCATCGCGTGAACTGACCCCACTGTCTGACAATGCCAGTGCCCGTTTGTGCAAGTGGCTTGAAATTTTGCGTCGTCCACCGCTCGACTGAGCAGCGTGGAGGGACCTCTCTATACCCCCTACCCTTCTCACTGTGGATTCATGACAAAGTCTTTCACCTGTTGGGCAGCGAAAATTTCAATCTCGCACCGTCCCTCAAGGTCACGACTCTTTCTTTCTCGGCAGACGGCGCGGCATACATTATCGCAGTCATGCACAACTTTGAATTGGCCTCGCTGAAGGGGGCCAAGATCGATGTGGATACTTTGTGCAGGGCAGAGGCTGACCTGCTTTTACGTCCACTGTCACAGTGCAAAGCATGTCAGACCCTTGAATATGTCGACGTCTTCGCCAGTTAATCGCCCAAGCAACTCGTTTACACCGATCGGACAGTTCTTTTGTTTCAGGCAACCGCGAGTCCTGCAACTCCATTTTTCACATTGCTGCAACCATCTTGACAACGACCTTTTCAAAGCCATGTCCAGTCTGTCGCACATCCGTTCGTTGAAATTAATAGACCTCCATTTTCATTCATCCGACGTCACATTCCATGGACTATTCGCAGCGCTCCGTCTATGTCTCCATTTGCAAACACTGCGAATTCGATATTTTTTGATGCTGCACACATCGATGTCGATCCCACAACCGAGTCAGTTCAACACCCCCCTACAAGCATTTGATCTGGACTCCCCTGAGGCAGTGGAGGCTGAAGCTGTCGCTCGCATCATCTTCTCCACGCCCCCTCGCGTCCACCAAATTAATCAAGTGTACGCTAGGAGACGCTATCGGAAGGACTGGGAAGAGGTCAATAGGCATCTCAAACATTTTAATCTTCTTCCGTTCTCGGTCCGCGCGAAAAGTTGGATATAAGTGGGTCAAAAGCGAACTCGTAATTTCCTGATGTACACTTTTCCTGATGGTCGACTCGGATCTCTCGGACTCCAACAGAGGTCAATAGACATCTCGGACCTTTTAATCTACTTCCGTTCAACCTCGGTCATTAAATCATAAGAGCATTTTCGCAGTCCTAAGACTTTGTGAAACACGGGCACGTCGCTGTACGTGCTTATGCCTCGAGCAGTGACCGTGAGGATGGCTGTCTGAAGACATACTAGCCCGTAATGTAAATAGGCGAAACAATAATGCATAGTGGGTGGTAGGCATTGCTTGTTTACGAGATCCACGCTTGATCTGCGCACCAATTCACCGACGGCCGTCTAGTACCCACTCATCTCCCTAAGAGAGCCAGACCAAAACAATCCTATTCATCGATAACGTACACACACGACGGAAGCAGACATGATAAGACGCAGTACATATATGCGGTAACACTTTCGATAGCTCAGCCTTGAACGCCTCTGCAAGGCGGTGCCTAGTTGACAGGGGTGAGTACCCACTGCTGGTAGGCATCCGCTGAGTTGAAATTCGCCAGTTTCACCTTGTGAACGCTATGAGCAAAAGGCTCTGAAAAAAAAACCATCAACTTACTAAGTTGTCATCGTCCGGAAGGGATAGCACCAGGTCTGGGTTCCCGAGAGTGAAACTAATCCTGTACACGCGAGTCGTTAAACTAGCAAAAATATGTCGCTGAGGCGTCGGATTCTCACCTATAAGTCTCATTCACGCCTTGAACAAGTTCGACGAGAAACGCGGACCTGTCATAAACGACTGGTTCATTCACACCCTGTCCACGTTCGCGTCAACCGACAAGCAGATGAATGAATGAATGCCGATCCAGCATACCTCCTTGACAGTGGTGAAGAATCCATTGCCATTGTAGCCCTTGTTGTAGGTCTGAATGGTGAAAGTGTTGTCGGAGTTCTTTGGCTCGGTTTGTTTCTTGATCATCCACTAGCATACGTGATGTGTGTGAGAACCGATCACAAAGTGAGTGCGAACGCGTATAGATACCATTTGAGCCTCGGTGCCATTTTTGGTGTAGCCTTGGATCGAGTTGCCTTCAACGGTGCTGTCGTCCTTCAGATCGAGCATGAGGTCTTTGCCGATATTTCTGACAGTATACACTCCATTTTTGGTGAAAGACATTGTATAAGATGTAGGTCGCTAGTAAGATGATTCGACTTGAATGAGACGAGTAATCGACAAAAGAAAGCTCATAGAACGGTAGGCTTTTATACTGAGCATCTTGGGTTGTTTTGGCTCAACATTGAGCTGAAGCGAGGACGTTGGGTAGAGTCTGCCAGGGGTCTTTTCATGGTGAATGCCGTCAGCGCCCGGTGTCCGGATTCTATTTGCTCAAGATTCGAAGTTGTTTGAAGGAACCGAGCAGATTCCAAATGATAACAGGGGACCAGAAACCGAGTAAGCGGTTGCCCGAGGCGTAACTCGACTGACTTCATTCAGTTTGGGCTCACTCGAAGGTGGCAAGCCACTTGATGAAACATGGAAGTGCCGGGTAGTCGCTGCCGAGAAATTCGCAAAAAAATCTGACAAGGAATGATTAGTAACTCCTCCGGCAGTGCCAGAGCGACTTGTGGCTTGATCTGCGGGATGCGGCCTCAAGCCCACCGCATCCACAATAGCTGCTCCTACCGTTGACAAGTTTGCTCCTCGATTTCAGGTTCGAATATATTGCCAGAGTCAACTAACGGCAGAAGAGCGTGTTGGAGCATGATTATCAGACAAATGAGTGTGCCGCGGGTCGCGCTGGGTTCAAGACAGGTTGTTGGGGCATGCAAGGACAACCTAACCATGGGACCAAAGTTACCCCTCGACCGAAAAGCTGACAGTAGTGCTGTACTTCCCGTTGATACGAGAAATCAATTGAACTCTCGAAAAGTCCTGACAATGTGCTGCGATCGGCAAAAAGTCCCCGCAAACAAGATTTAGAACAACGTTTCGTAAACTTCTTTTGCAATCCATATGGAAGCCCTGCATGTAGTCCTGACAATGTGCTGCGATCGATACGGAAGTCCCATGTAGATGCCGAGAGGTTATCGACAAAGCTTCCAAGCAAGCGAGAGTGAGGAATGTTTGTAAAGCCATTTGCAATTCACTGCCATAGGAGTCCCTAGGCTAAAAATTGGCGCGACGCGAACTACACCTGCAAATTCAATCTTCCATCATCAAAGCCATTCACAATGCTTTTCTTGATGCACTGGCCTTTGTATAGTAACCATCAGAGAATTCTTGAGTGTACCCAGGGTGCTTTACGTTGATTGCGGTGGTTTTCCGACGTTATACTACATGGCTTTATATGACTTTATATTCCAATATAAAGAAAATCTTTCCTATATATGATCATGTATCGGGATATATGACAATATCTTCGGTTCACGAGTCCTTTAATGGCCACATTAAGGTGGAGCGAAGGGAAAGATTAAATGTATTGGAGGGGATGATATTTGTTGAAGGTAGCGAAGGCAAGATATCTAGAATTGCAGTGAATGTGAATTCTTAGGAGAAGAAAAGAATAAACAAATCTTTGCGGGCTTAATTGATAAGCATAGAGGATTTGGTTATTTGTGTGGGAAGAGTTGGCGTTGCTTGACCGAGACGTGTTTTTACTCGGTGTCTCATTGGTACATGGGAGCATATTGGCTCGGCCGAGGAATGAGGCCGACATGCTCCCCATGGTCCTGTAACCCATAACTTGAATCATGGTGGATGATACTAATACCGCCTACCCGCGGTGTACCCAGCCATTGGCTCAGCACCTGACGATAAGATCTCGTACCTGCAAGCCGCTCGGCTGGATCGGAGTCTTATTTATATTCAAACCACATCGACAATCTAGAACTACACTGGCTGTTACTTGATACAACTTGCAGTCTGACGATTTTAATGTAACTTGTCCTTTATCTCCAGAACCCAGACTGATATACGGACCTGCTCTTTGTCAGTAGATACATCATGGCAACTTACTGTTTGATGATCCCGTAGACCCATGATACGTCCTCTTCTCCACAGTATATAGCTTCATTTTTATTCCCTCGCACGTATTTGACTACTAACATGTTTCCAGCGACATTCGACATGGTTCCTTTAATCTCACGGCTCAAGACATTTGGTGGTGCGTATACTGATAGATATTCCCGAAAGAATGCGTACCCCAAGTGCTGGGGCACCCCTAGGCTTGTTCGTAATGAGATTGTACATTTTACGAAACTACCTTGTAGATGAGACGGAGAAACCAGATCCAAACTACCTAGCGCCTCCATTGCAAAAGAAGTTTACAAAACTAGGCACCGTCACCGGCATTGACCAACCCATCATGATTACATAATGTTGGAAGTAACTCCCGGTAGCGCCACAGCACCGCCTTCTCCATGCCACCTATTCCGACTCCCGCGTTAATGGAGGAGGGGCTCGGTGATGCCGTGACCTTACTCCGGAATTGTTTGGCTCCTACAGCAAGGTACGAGCATTACCTCAGTTACGGCAGAGATGAAGACTTCGTTCACTGCTCAGCAATGACCTTGGACATTACATAATTCCACTGATATTTTCGCTCTCTTTCTTGTAAATGAGGTACAAAGTATTATAGCTAGTAATGATAAGTATACACTCCCTTTGATACATTGGTAGCACATTTAGTAGTCCAATATGTTCTATTGAGTGTATTCTGGTTATTAATGATATACGCTAGCGCACTACACAGGGAGGAGCAGGGTGAGACTTAGGCTGGCCAGAAAATGTTGATATTGTGGAACTACCAAATTAGGACAGATTCTGGGAGTAGTGCTCAAGCATTATAACTACCACTTTCGGGCAACTTTCGGGCGATAAAAAACATAACCTTCGCCACCGTCGTGAAAACTGGGTACCGGCGGTGTGACGTAAGAACGTAATGAAAAGGCCTCCGAGCGGAAGCCTTATGTAATTGGTGAGTAGCATTGGAAATTACCTGGCAACACCATCCCAAATATCCTTCGACAGGTATACTAGTACTTCAATAAACGATAATTGGCTGAGACCTAGGCAAGTTGCAGGCAGCACCACCCACTCCCTCTCTGACAGCTGTAGACTTCGTTCTCGAACAATGCCGTCAAGCTTAACTGGCTAACCGCGTTATTCGTCTCAACCCCCGATCATTACTCAACTTCTCGGTATCTACATGGGGCTTCCATATGGATTGCAAAGTTTACAAAACATTGTTCTGAATTTCGTTTGCGGGGAATTTTTGCCGATCGCAGCACATTTGTCTGATAATCATGCTCCAACACGCTCTTCTGCCGTTAGTTGACTCTGGCAATATATTCGAACTGAAATCGAGGAGCAAACTTGTCAACGGTAGGAGCAGCTATTGTGGATGCGGTGGGCTTGAGGCCGCATCCCGCAGATCAAGCCACAAGTCGCTCTGGCACTGCCGGAGGAGTTACTAATCATTCCTTGTCAGATTTTTTTGCGAATTTCTCGGCAGCGACTACCCGGCACTTCCATGTTTCATCAAGTGGCTTGCCACCTTCGAGTGAGCCCAAACTGAATGAAGTCAGTCGAGTTACGCCTCGGGCAACCGCTTACTCGGTTTCTGGTCCCCTGTTATCATTTGGAATCTGCTCGGTTCCTTCAAACAACTTCGAATCTTGAGCAAATAGAATCCGGACACCGGGCGCTGACGGCATTCACCATGAAAAGACCCCTGGCAGACTCTACCCAACGTCCTCGCTTCAGCTCAATGTTGAGCCAAAACAACCCAAGATGCTCAGTATAAAAGCCTACCGTTCTATGAGCTTTCTTTTGTCGATTACTCGTCTCATTCAAGTCGAATCATCTTACTAGCGACCTACATCTTATACAATGTCTTTCACCAAAAATGGAGTGTATACTGTCAGAAATATCGGCAAAGACCTCATGCTCGATCTGAAGGACGACAGCACCGTTGAAGGCAACTCGATCCAAGGCTACACCAAAAATGGCACCGAGGCTCAAATGGTATCTATACGCGTTCGCACTCACTTTGTGATCGGTTCTCACACACATCACGTATGCTAGTGGATGATCAAGAAACAAACCGAGCCAAAGAACTCCGACAACACTTTCACCATTCAGACCTACAACAAGGGCTACAATGGCAATGGATTCTTCACCACTGTCAAGGAGGTATGCTGGATCGGCATTCATTCATTCATCTGCTTGTCGGTTGACGCGAACGTGGACAGGGTGTGAATGAACCAGTCGTTTATGACAGGTCCGCGTTTCTCGTCGAACTTGTTCAAGGCGTGAATGAGACTTATAGGTGAGAATCCGACGCCTCAGCGACATATTTTTGCTAGTTTAACGACTCGCGTGTACAGGATTAGTTTCACTCTCGGGAACCCAGACCTGGTGCTATCCCTTCCGGACGATGACAACTTAGTAAGTTGATGGTTTTTTTTTCAGAGCCTTTTGCTCATAGCGTTCACAAGGTGAAACTGGCGAATTTCAACTCAGCGGATGCCTACCAGCAGTGGGTACTCACCCCTGTCAACTAGGCACCGCCTTGCAGAGGCGTTCAAGGCTGAGCTATCGAAAGTGTTCCCGCATATATGTACTGCGTCTTATCATGTCTGCTTCCGTCGTGTGTGTGTACGTTATCGATGAATAGGATTGTTTTGGTCTGGCTCTCTTAGGGAGATGAGTGGGTACTAGACGGCCGTCGGTGAATTGGTGCGCAGATCAAGCGTGGATCTCGTAAACAAGCAATGCCTACCATCCACTATGCATTATTGTTTCGCCTATTTACATTACGTGCCACTAGTATGTCTGAAGACAGTCATCCTCACGGTCACTAGTCTGAGCGGTCACGCTTGACTCTGATGCTGTGAATGAGCCATGTTGACATTCTCCTGCTCCATCGATTACAGGTCCTAATCGACGAAATTCGCACAAGCCCAAGAAGTGGGGAACATAAAAGTTCATGACATATACCGCACTTTCCTGCTGTTCAAAAACAATCGGATTGAAAGAAAGAATAGCAAATACGACTTGTCCAAGTGTAGTCAGGAGGGAAATAAAGTGTCGGGAACAGGCATCTATGACTACAGCTACAGCTACTCGCAATAGGTATATCTTCAATGAGACTGAGATGGAACCACATACGCCTTCCTGCCTCTCCGACCTCCAATCCCCTCCCAGTTCCTCACCAAAACCACCGCTTCCTCCTTCATCAACACCAACGCCTGCTCAATATCACCTTCCACAGTTTGCTCGGCACCAATCACCATCCTCACACAAAACACCCCATTCAGGTCCGTCTGGGTGATCGCAATATCGCTTCGTGCTGCAAGACGAGCGTAAAAAGCGCGGTTTAGAGCGTTTAGCTCGGATGCCCCAAGGTGAGGAAGGGACTTGGGCGCCATCCTGAAAACTGTCATCGCAAGGGACGGCTTCGTGACAACAGAAAATAGGTCAGATTCATATATGCACTGTGCGAACCTGGCGTTCAGCCTGATACACTTGTGAGACACCACCGCACGTCAGGATGAGTAGACGTGAATAAATAGATAAACATACATCAGTGATGTACTTTTGGAAGCCATTCACTCCGCGCGTACGAAGGGCAAACCAGAATTTGAGCGATCGGAATCGTCTGCCGAGGCCGAGATGCCAGTTGCGGTAATCGATAGCGGTGGCTATACACATCCATCAATATTGAAGCGACAACTCAACAGGAACAGAAACGCACCAGCATCCCCGTGTTTCGACCGCAAAAATTCAGGCGTAACGTCCAGCGCATCGGACAAATGCCTCCGGTGCCGCACCCACAAACAGGAGCCATCAACATGTATAAGACCCCACTGCGGAGTGTTTATAAGTTCCAGACTGATGCTCACGAGGCAGAAATAAACTAACCTTGTGGAAATTAGTGCAGAAAGAATCTACATAGTTATTGATGGCGGGAAGTTGGTATGCCTCGCGATATTCGGGACACACGAATGCGACGCCTGCCCATGCAGCATCGACGTGCAGCCAAAGGAAAGGGTAATGTTTCGCTGCGCGTATAAATTAGTTTTAAGGAGTTTTGATAACATAATCAGCATACGCACCGACATCAGCAATCTCGTCGAGCCGATCGACAGCACCGGAAGATGTCGTCCCTACCGTACCGACTGCAGAACAAGCAAAATGAATTTCAAGACTGCGGTCCATTGCGAAGAACATACTCAAGATGAAAGGGTGAAACCCGGCTTTCACGTCCTCCTCCAATGCTACCTTAAGCGTGTCTCCACGCAACGCAAAGTCGTCCTGTGCTGTGACTTGCAGTGTGTGCACTTTGAGACCTAAGACAAGCGCAGCTTTCTTCCCAAGCGAGTGGGTTTGAGTGGTGATATAGAGCACGAGATCCTCCATCGCCACGTGAGGGTGTTCACGAATATATCGTGAACGAGCGGCAACCGTTGCGACCAACACAGAGTCAGATGCTGACGTCTAATGCACAGCGATCAATATAAATTAGTGATATAAAGGGATGAGAAACAGACCTGAATGACGCCGCCGCCGACCTCAGAGATATTGTAAAACGCCTTGTCAAGCCCGAGTATCTGTGCGGTCCAGTCCATGACCACGGCCTCAAGCTCTGTGCATGCTGGGCTCGCAGACCACTACAAAAAGTCACAAAAACGGCAGGAGGGTTGCGGTGGAGACGTACGTTGAATCCTGGGTTAGACGTGCTAGACGCGTACAATTCTGCAAGTATACCCTCAAACGTGCTTGACGTAGGGAAGTACGCAAAGAACGAGGGGTGCTGCCAGTGTGTCAGGCCTGTAAATCCAAATGAGATACGTAAATTCATGCAATAATAGGAGTCAAGTACCGGGAATGATGTGCTTTTGATAGTCGTCCGCGATGAGCTGGAAGTCCTCGCCTTCAGTGGGGGCAGAGGCTGCGTTCATAATGATGAGGAGGAAGCGCGAGGTACAATGAAAAATGCGCACATGGGAGCGCCTTTCTGAGGTATCCTGGCTCAACTTGGGATGAGACAGGCCTACCCCTTAAGGAACCATGATAGTCGCATATTCTATCGATTGCTTGATAGCCAGCTTTGCGGAATCTGGGGTACATCAGATATGACTAAGGCCAGGATCTGACACTCGCAGAACGTACTGTTCAACATCCATGACGATAACAAATTGTTGGTTAGATAGGAGTTGGCTTGGAGTGGAAGAAAAATGTACAGGTGATTGTGTGCAGTTCGAGCCCCCTGGTCGGTATGTCTTTATAGTCGGGGCGTCTTGTTGCGCTCGCGCAAATTGAATAACTGGGAACACGTGCCTCCAAAGGCAACAGTTCCGGTAGTTTGGAACACTGAAGCTGTACAAATTGCAATTACCTCCGGGAGTGAATAGATCCTTCGCAGAAGGCTCGCTCACGTATCATTGTATCAAGGGTCAGTTAATTTAGGGAGAGTGTGATCCGGGCTTCACGATCACGAAGAAGACGGGTTGAATCAAGCGCCCCGATAACAGCGGACTAGGATCAGAAACGCCGATCGAGGAATACTTGGCCAATACACATCCTTGACACGAGGGAAATCGGTGTTCTGGCTAAAGGCTGGTCATACCGTACAGTTGAGGGAGTTGTACAAACCTTGAGCTGAAGTTGAGCTAAACATTCACCCGAATCCATCAATTTGCTCCTAGAGACTAAGAGACTATGATGCTGTCATAAGTTGGGTTTCAACTGCTAAAAGTTTTCAGCCATTGTCCGAGTCGTGCTTGACGGCAACCTTGCGAAGAAGCGCGTGAACTGCATGATCGGGGTGCAAGGTGAATTGCGCCTGAACTAAATTCAAGGGTAAGATGTTGGTTTGGTAAAAAGAAAGAAAGAAATGTCCTTCAGGTTACGCTCGGGCTAGACCCTGTTAGTAACAGGATCTACATCACTGAAAACCTCATCGTGTGATATGCCGCTGTTCAAATTACAAGGCTGAATCATAATATTTACTACCGAGATACACGGCCAATCGAAAAAAGCATAGAATCTATGCCTAAAAATAGGGTTATAGCATTTATGTTGGTCCTATCTCCGCACAACAAATTTCGTAGCGCATATTACATATAATTATTCCCGACATATTTGTTAATCATAAGCTGACATAATGGCGATGGTTCCAGATCGTCACAGCGATGCTAGCAGGGTGTAAATCCATCGGCTGGTTTAGGGTGCACGTTATGTACGGAGACCTAGCACCGTAACTACAGTAGACTATGCCATAATGTATATGCCTTTAGTGTATATTTTCAATACTGTATCGAGTTTTCAATGGTCCCACTGTGGGACAGTGAGAAAATAGATCCATAATGTATATTTTATAATGTATTGACCTTGCATGCCTGTTATACATTATCAGATGGCACTTTTGGTGGTGGGGACCATTATCAGTGCCAGCTATTGTCCACATGTCATATGAAAACCCTATGTATGACATCAGGCCAACCAAGAAACCCACAAATCAGATTCACATGATGACTGCTGAGAAGCACAAATCTCATGATGTCCCTCCACTTGATAATTGGCCAAAGCCAAAGAAGCCAAAGACAGTCAAATGGGTTTGACTTGAATGGTGAGGACATAGCCATTGTTGTTGCAGTCAGTTGAGAGATTGTGTTAAGAACCATGCTCAAAGGAGAGAGAGACTGACTCAGAGGGGCTTGGCCTCAGCTCGTATGCTATGCCCCTTACCTGAGCATGTGCCCTTCATTTCAGAGGAAGTCTGATGATGGCCCAATGAAGTCCAGAGGACTTCTGGAGGAGCATAGGAAATGTCCAGAGGAGCATGGGAGAGTTCCAGAGGAATGCAGGAAGTGCTCAGGAGAGTTCCCACTGCAAGGTAATACTTCTACAGGAAACAGGATGGAAGGGTAGGAGGTCTGGAGGACAAGATGTCCAAAGGTATGCAGGACAGGACATGGAGGTATGGAGGATGGGATGTCTGAGGGTTAGGAGGATGGGACATCTGAAGGACAGGACATCTGGAAGGAATAGGGGCTACATCAGATGAAGTCTGATGTAGAAACAAACAGAGGTGGACTACCCTAAGGTGGAGTTGGAGGGACAGGAAGTGGACCAAAGTCCAGAGGGAGGGTAAGTGCCGGAAAGGCAAGACTCCAGCCTAGGGAAGCAATCCCTAGACTTGGGACAGAGACATAAGGGACAAATCTGAAGGTCCAGAATTCTGACCTAGGGAATCCATCCCTAGGCCTTATGTGTTACGAACTAGGATAGTCGCAGCATCAACAGCTTGATAAGAGTGATGGTTGAGGTTGAATCAAGACCTTACAAATGTAAGGGTTGTAAGACAAAGCAAAGAGAGTGTCCCTGCTTTGAATATTGATCTTAGACGACTTAGGATTGGAGGTCCTAAGCGAAAGAGTATTCAGGTAAAAACCTAGTAAGATTAAAGTGAAGCACCACTAAGTACATTGTTGACTATATATAGGGAATTGTAGACGATTCAGGGCAGGCGTGAGTCAACCAATGAGTCAGAGATAAGAGATAAGAATGAGTCACAATGAGTCAGAGATGAGAGATAAGAATGAGTCATCTAATGACGGCAGTGGTGATCGTGATGTAATACAAAATGAGTCAGAGATAAGGATGAGTCATCTAGCGACAGCGGCAGCGATCATGATGTAATACAGGATGAGTCAGAAGACGTAATACAAAGGAAAGGAAAATGAATAGGGGCAAATGCAGTTGTAACATTACCCCTTGTTTAGGGATGAAGTCACCGACTTCAGTTATCCTGGTTAGCCCAGTAGATAGGATTGGCATCGTAATTTGAGTCCAACAAGTCGTCTTGTTCCTCAGTGATAGGGAGTGACCTGTCAGCTAACTCAGCGGCATGATAAATGGTGTCCTGCTCAATCTCCCAATGAGCGAGGGCTTCATAGAAGCCGGGGTCAGTCCAAACCAGTATGGAATGACCACTTCTCCTTTCAGGTCTTTACAAAAGACCAATAGATGTCTGGGTGCATACTCTTTGCAAACCCAACAGTAGTACACTGGGCAGTTCTTGTGATGGTGCCCAGCGGCACGACAATTGCGGCATATGACATTATTGACTGTTGCTGTTTTTACTGTGGTGACGGTAGTTGATTGTGCTGGGGGAGAAGGGGATCTAGATTGTCATTTACAATTTCTGTGTGGAGAGGCCAACATGGTGTGCTTAGCAATGTGGGCAGATCTGCACCTGATAGGGTATCGATGTGTAGTGGGTATGATGGGGGTAGGAGACAGAGAAGCTGGTACGTCAAGTACAGCAATAGGAGGGATATTATCATTCTGATGCTCAATGGTAACTGTTGGAGGGATTGGTGGTGGGACTGGAATAGCAATGTGTGGAGAGGGAGGGCACGCGACTGGGTTGAGAGTGATTCATTCTGTGATGATATGAATAGCTTCTCTGATAGCCTCCCTAGTATCATCAGGCAGCAAATGGATTGCAGTATTACAAATGCATATATGAAGATGACGGAAGATGGTCTTGTGGCATTCATTGTCAAGAAGATTGGTGGTACGTTCAATGAGACTAGCATCTCTGATGGTTCGGATGATGAGTCTGCTAGATATTGCTCCTCTTTCTCCTAAGAGGCGATCTATTTCTATGGTGTATTGTTGGGAAGTGATAGTGGATTCGAACAGGGCGTTGGTTTCCACTTGATCAATGATTGAGAAGTAGTTGGTGAGAATGGAGTCATTGGTTAGGGTGGAGTCTGATGACAGTGGAGAAGCAATGGGGGAAGATGCATTGGCGATGAGGTTGGCGGTGGTAGCAGTCTGGTAATTGATAAGGGATGATGGGGCAGCGACATTTTCGGATATGGCATTCATAGCAGTGGTGAGCTCTTCAATTTGTTGGATACAAAGGCATAGGCATTCAAGGGACATTGTTTTGGAACTACAATTGGTGAGTTCTTTTCTATGCAGTAAGGACGTTGATAGCATTGCTAAGGTTCTTTTCTGGAATCCATTTGTTACTAGTGGAGGAGTATCCTGGAAAGGATACAAGATAGCGTCTTCGTTTACCTGTGCCTTTGTGTGATAAGATCGCATCAATTTCATATTCTTCTTCATTATCGATGATGTCAGGGGGAGGGTCATGGAAGTTTGGACCATGAATCTCTGTTTCATGATAGGAGGATAGCTCAGAAGCATGGAATGTGGGATGAACTCTCCATTGCAGTGGCAATTGGAGTGTGAACATGATGGGTGATAGCATGGCGACGATAGGGAATGGACCATATCTCTTCAGTGCGAGCTTTCGAGATGGTAACTGTGTGATCAAGTTCTTCCCAGATAACCAAACCTTATCTCCTATCTTCCACAGGTGATATTTCTGTCCATGAGTTTGTTCTGCCATTCATTGCATGGCAAGATTATGACATGATAGCACTTCTTCTCTGGATTTCTGGAGTGAGCGAAGTCTTTCTTCTGCAGCAGGTACAGTAGAGTTGGCAAGTACATGAGGGAGAGCCCTTGGTTCATATCCCATCATAAGGAAAAAGGGTGATGCATTTCGAGAGTTGTGTTTTCTGTGGTTGTGAACAAATTCTGCCATAGGGAGGTGTTCTACCCAATCTTCTGGGTGATTACAGCAATAGATCCGAAGATAGGTTTCAAGTTCCTGGTTAAGGCGTTTGGTCTGTCCATCAGTCTGGGGGTGATAAGCAGTTGATGCAGCTATGTCATATTGCAAAAGCTTAGCAAGGGCTTTCAAGAATTTTGATATGAATTGCGGTCCATGATCAGAAATGACTTTCTCATGTAATCCGAATCGACGATAGACGTATTTGAAAAATTTCTTGGCGACACCTTCAGAGGTGATGGTTTTTGTACAAGGGATGAGAATTACCCCCTTCATAAGGCCATGGTCGACCACGATCATAACAGAATCAAATCCCGCACATGGGGGAAGATCAGTGATGAGGTCGACGGAGACCTGGGTAAATGGCATGGCAGTGGCAGAGGGGATAGGGACAAGAGGCAGTGTCGTCAGGTGGGTATTGGACTTCATTTGCTGGCAAAGGGCGCAACCCTCAACGTATTTCTGGATATAGGTG